GTTCATAAAATGGTTATTTATTCCTCTCAAATCATGCAGCATTTTACAAAAATACTATGGATATTTCTGGCTTTGGTAAATATCCGATACTAGGTGCAAATGAAAATTTGAGGGGTTATAATAAGTAACGATAAAAATAGTATGACAGAATTAAACGTACTGTAACATTCATTAAAACAATAATTTTAATTAAATACAAATACAATATAAATTACCAGCAGAGTACCCGTCCTTCGTACGGGGTTGGCATATAAGTATCAAATGTTTATTGCAGTTATGAGAGAAGACACCGTTTAAGAAAATTTGGTTATTTATGCACATCTACCATAGCCATAATGTTTTACCACTGCACCTAAACCATAGAAAAAGTAGAGTTCTCATTGTGTACCACAGCCTTTTGTTGCTATGTAGTTGGTTCAAATTAGCTGTTGTCATAAATGCAAAAAAATAATAGCGCTGCACCCTGTTGGTAAACCTTATAACTTTTTAACGCTATTTAATATCATAGAACATAGAACTAACTTGTGTAGTTGAAACAACTTACAAAATTCTTTAATTCCTTTTAAATATGCATAGGCCTACTCATAAGGTTAACATGGGAAACTCCAGATCCACTGGGGCGGAGCCCGAAAGGATTTTTGAAATAAGAATATGCCTATATGTTAATCGGGAATGTGAGCTATCATCTTGCCAAATTTCAGCCCAATCCGACCAGTATTTTTCGCGTTCACTTGTCACAAACATACATCCATACATACATCCAAACTTTCTCATTTATAATATTAGTAGGATAGTAGGATAGGACGAACAATTACGTTACAACATCAAATAACATTAAGGGGACTGTAAACAAAACATATATTAAAATTTAATTTATAGTGAATTTCCCATATCAAGCTATTACCGTAGTCTCATCGTAAGACCCAAACCCGGGACCGCTTACCCATGACAAGGGTTGTTCTTGACAAGCTAATCGAAGAAAGTGTGTAAGATTTCTGATACAGTTTATTTGGTTATGATATTTAAATTTTCAACGTTTTTAAAATATTATAAAATTGATTACATTGAATCAATTATATGGTAGTCCTACATAAATCGAAGATTTAAACGTGTTTTGGGTCCGAATTCATCCGTTAACGCAAACATTAACGAATCATGTATTCAAACCGTAATTGTTGTAAATCCATCCGCCGGGCGTGATTAAACCTGTGAAAACAGGATTTCCGTATTTGGGTCACCTTGTCTATCATTTATCGTATTGAAACATTTACGTCATTCACATGATTAAACCGTCCATATTTGTAAACAGCGGCACAGTTCATATTCGATGGTTGAAATGAAGTTAATTGAAATTTGAATGAAATATGTCAACTTCACGTTAGTGTGGTGTAGCTCTTTTATTTGTGTATATTCAATTTATTTTAAATACAGTCAGACTTTATAAATCAGTTGGAAATAGAAAGTGTCACACTAGGAGATATTGTCCCTTTAGTGAAAAGAACCTCATTTAAATAGGAAAGATACTTTAAATAAAAGTCTCGAGGTTTCCACTAAATATTATTGTTTAATTGAGCGTAGCTCTTTGGGATCAACTTCAATGCAACAAATAGAGAAACATCACTCAATAACGGCTGAAGGCATTTCAGCCAAACTTAACAAAATTACTTAGAGCGTAGCTCTTTGGGATCAACTTCAATGCAACAAATAGAGAAACATCACTCAATAACGGCTGAAGGCATTTCAGCCAAACTTAACAAAATTACTTAGACTAATAGTGAGATGGTTTTTAAACAAACAAATTTCAATTAGATAATGCTAATGCAATTTAAAACGAACTTAAAATTTCCAAATTTTAACATTAGACTTATGGGACAAAAGTAGCCATATGACAGTTTTTTGTTTACAAAAAAAATGTAAACAAGAGTACCTTTACGGTATTTCTGAACTTTCTAGACTTTTCTCTTAAACGTTCTTAAACTATTCCTATGATTTTAATAAACAAGAAAATGCCGTTAAAACATTTTTTTAAGGCGCAAAATTCACTGAAAATCGAGAAAATATACGGAACTACTTTCTCAATGCGCGGAGCATAAACAAGGAGCGGAGGGATACGGACCAGTGACTACTTTCTTTGGAACCTATTTGTGTTGCCAGCTGGTTAAAAACAGCCAATGTTAGAAATCAGGATTTAATAAGCGATATATCGCACCGCATCGAAATCGATATTTAATCCGATAATACATCACAGGTTATATTATGTTGAATTACATCGACGGTGCAGTAAGTTATTACACTTATTAATGAAACGCAGATTGAACACTGATCTAATCTAGGCATGTGGGGAAGGTAGCAAATAAAGCTGAGTTTAACCATGTTTTATCTATGGTTTAACCGATTGCAGGGGTTGAAATGAAGACCAATGTTTATGTTGCACAGTTGAATTTAAATGTCAAATTTCCCCTCCTGTTGTAATACTTTGATACTCGTTTTTTTAATAGTTACTGTTTTTTTTTTTATACTTTAATATAGAGCCTACTTTAACCGATTGTAAGGGTGAAAAATGAAGTCCAATATTTTTGTTGTAGGCTACAGTGCTACAGTTGAATTTGAATGTTAAATTTCCTTTCTCTTTTTTATACTTTAATGCCCTTTTTGGATGTTAATACCAGATTCCAACTACTGTAATATTTTCCTGGTCAAAACTACCATAATGCACTTTTGGAAGAGGTATCTGATCTGAATAACAAGATGTAGTAAAAACAAATCTGAATTATTATAATTTTAATCAATAAAACCAGCATTAGTACATCTATTGACTTTTTTACATTTAGTTACTTATACAAATATCAAATCAAGTTTGTTCCGCTCAACTGGCTTTCACCTCTCTGAAAGCAACCCTAGTTTATGAAACTTTGAAAAGTAATTAATAATTAATTGTTTAGAGAAAATAAAAATGAACCACTTTGGTTGAAAAGCCTAAAAGAATGTCTCTTTGTTTATTTTTCTCTTCATAGCAACCAAAATTCAATAAAACTCTTTAAAACATCTGTCAGCTCGAGCTGATAAATCTGTCAGCTCACTACAGGAGCCCCCTACGAAGACTAGAAGTCCATGGAGTTTTTGGAGGGTTCCGAAGTCACAAAAATAATAACCAATAACAAAAAAAAAATAATAATAATAACAGCAAGGACAAATGCAATTTCCATCAAACTGAAATTGGATTCTTGAATGTCACTTTTCTTCCAGACTTTATACGACTTTTGAAAATCCACATCTTTTGAAGTTTGAGATACAGTTGAGGGCTTAACTTCATCATTGATTTCCATTATGTGTTCTTTATGTGTTCAAATCGGGGTCACCAATTTTAGTGAAAAGAACCTCATTTAAATAGGAAAAATACCTTAAATAAAAGTCTTGAGGTTTCCACTAAATATTATTGTTTAATTTATCAAACTTTGAAAAGTAATTAATAATTAATTGTTTAGAGAAAATAAAAAGAAACCACTTTGGTTGAAAAGCCTAAAAGAATGTCTCTTTGTTTATTTTTCTCTTCTTAGCAACCAAAATTCAATAAAACTCTTTAAAACATCTGTCAGCTGATAAATCTGTCAGCTCACTACACCCCCAAAAGTGATGTCTCTGACATCCGGTTAAACCATAGACTAACCAACACAAGTAGAGTAGACATCTCATCCCATTGTAAATTCTGAAGCTCGATTTTACTGTCTAGTTTATGTCCGGTGACACTGATCGCTAGTGTCGACGAAATTTTGTTTCTGTTATTTTAGGGTCAATTTAATTATGTGTGATTTACTGTTTGGCTATATAACTAAGGGACAAGTTATTGTTTATGATAACATCGTTTTATTTGGTTTAGTGAGGTTCTAATAGATACGTTACTACTTGTGGTACTCCTGACATTAGGAACCAAATGAGTTAGTATGCCTACATAATACTAGGTGTGGTGGTATGATATCCCAGGGAGGTTTGTGGTACAGCGGAACAGTTTATCGAACGATACTTGATGTGGTACTCTTATTGAAATTAGTATTCCAATGAGTTAATTATCCTAACTTGCTGTTCTGTTATTACCAACTAGTAATTCAATTAGTCGATATTTTTTCTATATGTATCGTATCATCGCTGTATCGCGATACGCGTCTGTATCGCCCATCACTGACTTGGAGTTTGAGGCATTTAGTCTAGGTATAGAGAAATAAGTCCTAAAGGGGTAAATTAAATAACAACTGTATAACTGCACAACAACTTAGGGGAGTATTTCATTTGGTCCAACAGTTGTTTGTAAAACAGTTCGTTTGGTCCAAAATCGTTTGGTCAAACAGTTGTAAAACAGTAAGTTTGGTCCAAAATCGTTTTATCCTCCAGTTAGGGAGTATTTCATTTGGTCCAAAATCGTTTGGTCCAACAGTTGTAAAACAGTTCGTTTGGTCCAAAATCATTTTGTCCAACACTCGAATACGAGCTCGTTTGGTCCAACAGTATGAACTATTGCGTCCCTCACATTGAAGGCGTTCAAATAACCGCCGTCACGTCGTCAACCCAACCACCTGCCTTCCGAGGCCTATTTGTTGTTTTTTGTTATGTTTCTAAATAATTGATATGGTTGCATTTATATACACATACATATACATATATTTATTTATATACAATGTGCTTTTGTCCTGTTTACTTTTTTATCCCCAGTCAATCTTAAAACAACGCGTTTTAATTCCCTAGACATATGGTTCAAATATATGGTAACTTTCTACCTTGGAACCCTGATGACCAGGCCATAAAATATCTTGGAGTATGGCTCGGCTGGACAAAAAACTTAATTGGAACTGCCACGTTAATAAAAAAAACTGAGGAGTATGTTTAATCTATGCTTTGAGTCAATTGAGTCGCTTTCTCTTTCTCTTCTCGTCTCGTGTTCTCCTGTTCTCTTCTCTCGCTCTCTCGTTCCGTTCTCGTTCGCTTCGCACTCGCACGGTCGGCCGGCGGGTTCGTGTTGTTCCGTTGTTCTGTTCATGTTTGTTCGGCCATTTTCAATTTTCATTTTATTCCAAATCCAAACTAAAACCAAATCTAATAGACAATTTGTTTATGTGAATGTGAACTAACTGAAGTTACTGCATCAAACTGTTCGGGACTGGGAAACTCATCGTATTGTAGTTTTAGAATTGAAACAGATTGTGATTTGAAGTAATAATGGTGAAAGACTATAAGGTAAGTTTAAGGTACAATTTTCATTTAGTTAACCTACCCTAATAAGTTAGGCCTACCCTCGGTTTATTCGTTTATCTATGCCGATGTTCTCATCGATCAAACCTGCCGCTTTAGAATTAAAGTTGGGCGTTTTTTATTGACTTTAATAATAGCCTACCTAACTTAACACGTTCGCGGCGGCATGGAAGGAACCCTAATGCCATCCTGGTGGGTGCGATCGCTCCCAAGCCCAAGCTGCAATGCAGTACGAAATGATTTATTTTTAAGCCAGGATTAGAGCTAGAAACTTGAAACCTTGCACAGCACTGCTCAATAGTATAGGCCTAAGTTACTGTATTTTGTTGTGGTGTAGGTTGGTAAATTTCCCCGTAAAATCCCCGTCTGGCAATACCAAAAATCTGCGTTTTGTCCTGTCTTTTTCCCTCCAATTACTCCAAGGCAATACAATTCCAACGGGACCGGCTACGTTCCAAGCAGTGCTGCTTTATGTGGGTGTTTAGCTAACTACTTACGTCGACTCGTTGTAAAGCAGGACATCCTTGCACGTTATTTGCTATTCGTCAGACCGAAATTGCAAAGCCAATCACACGCGGCAATCGGGTTTGTTTGACGCTGAGGGCTGCGCCGCACTGGGGATACGCCCGCCATTTGACGTGCCGCCACGAACATGTTAACCCTTTTGCCGCCAGCATTCCTATAATCGAGAACTGCCGAGGCCATTTTGTACTTAAACGCAATGCTTTATATAGGCCTAGGTAAGTTAAAATGGCATAACTTTTTTATTTTTGCAAATAGGGTATTTTGATAAAACCTTTTTTTTTGAACTAATAAGCTTAAAATTGTCTTTATAAAAATGTAGGCCTAATATTTAGGCCTATAATAGGGTGGAGTGGGGGAATTGGGACCCATGTTTTTATTTTTTTCAATTAAGTTATATGTTTATTGTCAGAAAAATCAAAATATGAGCATGCACAAGGTTTCCAACTGTAATTTGTCTTCTTATCACACGTTTTTCATTTTTTTTAAATAAATTTTACTATGAAAAAAAAATAATAATAATTTGGAACCCAATTACCCCACATGGGGTAATTGGGACCTACCGGTATGCTTATTTTAAACCCATAAGCACCTAATATTAATTTGTGGGGGTAATAGGGTTCTAAAAATGAAAACATAGCCTAATGAACAAAATGCAACATACTTTTATTGGAAAAATTTTTTTTAGGTCATTACTATTTTTTCCAAAACTACACTTTTTTCTTAATAAAATAGGAAAAATAAACCAGAGCAGATAACAGCCAGAAAATAGATTTAAACTGTTAAAAAAGACATATAGTTAAATAAAAAAAAACTACAAGTACCTATATTTTATGTCAAACTTTTTTCTGGTCATATGCAAACTTTCCAGAATTTCGCTTTTTCGGCCGAAAGAATTTCTAATAAATGGTAGTTATCAGTCCAAATATAATTTAAAATAGGCCAATGATGGGCTTAGCTCACTCTTTTAGGCTCTAGTTTCTTATTCAAGTGGTTGTAAAATAATTTTTTTACTTTTCTGTACATATGTGATTCCAACCCGATGTAACCACGCGATGAGACTGGTTCCCAATTACTCCATGCTGGGGTAATTGGGACCTACTTCCAAATTCTTTTTTTACACATAATACATGATAGGCTAATCACCACTGCAGCCACATAAAATTATTGATTAATTATATATGTGAGATTAATTATAATATTAATATTAATTATATATGTGGGATAAAAAAATATGGGTCCCATTTCCCCACAACGGGGTAATTGGGACCCATTTTTAAAAAAATTTATAAAATTAATTTTTAATTTAATTTTAAATTTTAAAGTCCTAACAAACTATTGCTTAAACCTTTAATGTGTCAAAAAATACATTTTGGTATGATTATTAATTCATATAATATATAAAAAATAACTCAAAATAGGTACTACCACGCTAAAGTTTTACATTCGGAAAAAAACACGGCTTAATTTTTTTTTATTTTTTTTTTGTCAAACACAAGATTACAATTATCCAATAATTTGTGATGAAACCCCCTTAGGATGCCTAAACTTTAACGTATTTACAATTTTGTTTAAAAATAAATAACTTAATACAAAATTTACAAATTTAAAAAAATGCTCCCAATTACCCCCAGGTCCCAATTCCCCCACCTAAAGGTTTGAATGGATTTTTTTTACGCAGGGGATAGGCCTACGCGTCTGGTAACCTGACGTGGATGAGGTGTCCGGCAGTTACTGTTATAACCTAAACTAACTAACCAAACTTGCTGATAGGCTAATGAAAAAATCGAATTTTTTTAACTTAAATTCTGTTCATAAAATAAAATTATAACTTAAATCCCAAAAATTCTAACAAAAGATGTTCTAAGGCCAAGGCCTACTGTTAAGAAGAAATGGCATTCGAAGCAAAATCTTTGACAAAAAGTTAAAATTACCGATGGGATTCGAACCAGGGACCACTTGCATATCAGCCGAGCACTCTATATACTACACCACGAACACTGATGGCTGTACATCGTATCGTTGTGGTAATGGCATTCCGGGCCCCCACAATCCGGTGATGTCACTGCCGGACGCCTAATCCACATCCGGATACGTACACCAGAAGAAATGCGCTTGACACGCTATTTCTATACAAGCTTAGTCAGTTGGATAGCTTTGAACTCCTGAGCATGATTGAGTTTCGTATCCCAAGAGGTGCCAGGTCCAGGGATGTCTTCGGTCGGAGGTTTGAGTTACGGTGACTGAATACACAGTGGCTTGACAAGACTTTTGCGGGTTGGTGGTGACATTGCAATTTCTGTCAACTTTTTCTCCGGCTCTCTGACAACTGTTGGAAGCTCTGTCAACCAGCTAGTAGTTCCTAGAATGTTTTTTTTTATCCTATTGGTTATTTTGTCATATTTGAATGTTAATGGAACCCATTTTTATTTTAGTTTATTTTGTTTTTGTTTCTTGTTATGGGTTGTTTGTTATTCTTGTCAGAAACTCATTGTTGTTATTACTGTTATGAGATTTTTTTGTAATTTTTTCTGTCATCGACCAGCTGATCTAGTTTCCAATAATGTTTTTGATGTTTTAAGATGACTTACTCAACTTGTTAAATCATTATCTGATTATCTAGAATCTAATTATTGTTCCCTCAGCTACTTAATATTTTCTTATTTTCCAAAATAAACTTATCACACACTTTTTAAATAAGTTCTATATTTCGGCATTTTATGTTATAATGGGGGGCAAATCCAAGGTGGCCGTTAGCTTCCATGGATTCTCTTGGAGAACAATTCATAATTACAAAGAACAATTCTAATCTTACAGTATAGGCCTCATGCGAGAGAGCTTTCTCAAAATTATTTTTAACAATGTTATTCATTGAAAGGAATAAGAAAATTGGCAAAAGACGCATCAGACTTAAAATTAAGACAGCTTGAGCAGCCATCAACTAATACTTAAATCTAAAACACCTTCCGGTCTAAATTTGAGATAGTATATGAAACATATTTTCTTTCTTTCTTTCTATCATCATTTTCTTTTTTACTTCTTTATAAATTATATGTATTTTGGATTTTTGCTAAAACCATCTGATTCAGAGTGGTAAACACTTATATTTGTTATTGTTTGTTTGTTCCTGAAGAAGGCTTATGCCGAAATATAGAACTTATATAAAAAAAAGATGCCAAAATATAGAACTTATTAAAAAAGTGTATGATAAGTTTATTTTGGAAAATAATTTAGCCGTTTGGCAATATGAAGAATTAATATTTTCTTAGTTAGCATATTAGGCCTAGAACTTACAAACAATTCTTAAAACAATATTTTTAATTTTTTGTTTCAGAACGACAAGGAGCCTGAGCACATCCGTAAACTCTTTATTGGTGGTCTCGATTATAGGACTACTGACGAGTCGCTCAAGAAACATTTTGAACAATGGGGCGAAATTGTAGATGTTGTAGTAATGAAGGACCCAAAGACAAAAAGGTAACTAAGCCAATAGTTTCTTGCAACTCTGATCTGTTGTTAGGCTTTGATGTCTTTTATAAATTGCCAAACTTGTTCTCCACCCGAAAATAGCCTTACATATCTCCTTTTATAACTCAGGGTAACTGTTTCAAATCATTTTGATAAATTATTGGCTCAACAATAGGAACTGTGTGTAACAACACTGATAAGTTACTACCTTTTAGCGAATTTCCCATATAGGGAATAAGCTATTACCGTAGGTCTCATGGTAAGACCTGGACCCAGGACCGATTTACTTTTTCGTTTTGATTTTCCCAAAAGCCAAAAACGCCATCTGTTAAAATTCATACATATATATGTCCGCTAGCACGACAACTCAAGCAAAAATGATCTGATTTTGATAAAATTTGGTAAAAAGACGTAAACCTATGTTTATTTGAAGCAGTTGGCGAACTAGCATGCTCGGACCATGGGAACTACCCTGCTTTATGGAGGGATTTATGGGGTAAAAATAGGAGTTTCTCGTTTTTGACCCTCAAAAAGATTTTCCAATTTCTCAACCATTTTGAAGAGCTTAAAAAAACAAATAATTTAGTATATTGAAGTGTTTTTTGTTGGTTAAACGGATAAAACAAAACAAAATTGTAAATTTAAAATTTCTATGTTATTCTTATGGAGAATAAGTAAACTGTTGTAGTTAGCTTGTTTTTATATATTTTGAGCAAACTTGGCAAATCTATCTCTTTTATACTATTAATGTTTTACTAAAAACACACTTTATTACCCTCCCTGTAGCAGCAAACCAAGGTACCCATTAAACCTAATGATATTGAAATAGATTTAATTGAAAATCAAATCAGGCAAATGGGAATTCACTTAATCTACAGGTTTGCTGCGGCGGGGGTATGTTTGTATTGGCCTTAGATTATTGTATATTATTTAATCAAGTTTAAAATTTAATTCACCTACAGTTATTGGCTTGCCTAAGTTTAAATAATGAAAACCAGTCGTTATCTTAATAACTCTGTAATTTTGTTAGCTTATGAATAAAGGTGTAAGTTAATCAAGCAATGATTCTAGATTTTACAAAACCACACTAAAACTTAGGGTAATTGATTTGTATTTAAAGTTGTTAATAATTAATAACTAACAATTATTCCAGGTCTCGTGGCTTTGGTTTTATTACATATTCACAAGCTGCTATGGTTGATGATGCTCAGAACGCCCGTCCCCACAAAGTTGATGGCAGAGTCGTGGAGCCCAAACGAGCCGTACCCAGAACGGTAAGTCATTGGTAGGGGTTTCAATCTCGAGGCTTTAATTTAATACCGGAAATTTGGGATTCATCTAAGCCTATTTATACTGGAATTCTATTGTAAACAATTAAGCAATAGTTAGCCGACCAAAATGTCTCTTATATGAGTGAACATTATTCACACAGATTAAATTTGCAACAAAATTACAAAAAAAAAAAATGACTACATGACCATTTTGGGTGACTTTGTGCAAAATTACACATTTAGTCCTACCCTAAAATTGCAAATCCTTGGTAGGGGTAGGACAAATGAATTTATGATTATTCATTCATTATGATTATAAAATTATACCAACGTACCATAGATATTTTGTAAACAACTTAAAACGTCAAGATTTTAGTTACAGTTTGCAGAAAGTAAACTAGCTGTAGTTTAACTAAACTATTGCAACTAGGTACTTTTAAAAAAAGTACCGGGGGACTGAGCCTTGCTCAGTTTGGTTATTTGGGTTTAATCGCTAAAACAATTTTATAATTTACGAAAAAGATTTTATTACAAACTATCATAGAATATAGACATTTGATCACTGAATGAACATAATACCCTCTGAAATAATAACAACTCTGTAATATAAAAGTATACAATTGAAAAAAAATAACATACACTTTTATGATCTTGCTTAAGTTTAAGTGCTACTCGCACAGAATTTTTCTCCCCTCTAGTCATTAAACCCTGTCTTTCTACTATTGTGTCCACCGATAACAGCAGGTAAAATTATGATGAAAAACAAAATAAGTATTGGTTTCAAAATGGCTTGTGACATAGATTTTTCGCTTTTGAGCTTTGCGCTACTTCTAAAGAGATCGATATTCTGTATCTTTTTTCATTGGGATATTTTATAAAATAAATTTGGAGACAAGTGCTTTATAACTTCCCCTCCCTTTTTTGAACCCTCTTTTGAATGCATTATTATTGTTATCTTTGGAAAGAAATTAATTAACTTAAATGTTTGAAACAAGACCCATTTATGTATAGGCCTAACACACTAAACTTGTAAGGTGATAAATTATTTAAATCTATAAATTTGGGCCTATAGAAAATAATTTGGCATTTTCTTGACAATGTCTGTGGCAAAGTATTTTAAAATAATTGTTTTTTAGGAAATCGGAAGACCTGAAAGCGGAGCGACCGTCAAGAAATTATTTGTTGGTGGATTAAAAGAAGAGCATGAAGAACAGGACTTGAAAGACTATTTTGGACAATTTGGAAGTGTGGTTTCTGCAACAATTGTATCAGAAAAAGAAACTGGTAAAAAGCGAGGCTTCGGCTTTGTGGAATTTGATGACTATGATCCTGTGGATAAAGTTTGCTGTAAGTTGGTTGATTTTGTTACTTCTGTAGTTATATAGGCTAGCCTACATTAATTTAATATCCAGCACACATGTCAATACGTTATGATCTATTGTGTTACTTGTGGGAAATAAAGATTTATTATTATTTATACTTAGTTAAAGGTTTGAATTCTATAAACTATCCAGGAAACCTACAGTAAGACATTTTTTACAGTAATACAGTAGAACCACTCTAAACTGAAATAACGTAGGTCCATGTTTCCCATTTCCATTTCATGTTCCTCAACTCGCCCATTCGCTGTGACCGCAGCGGAAATTGACGAGTTCGCTAAGACTGCTGAAGATTTCCCAGTTTGGGATTCATTTGTTACGATGAGGCGACAAGAATGTAAAGAATTTGTTATGTTTAGTGCAAGGAACCCATACGTTGAAGGGCAAGCGAATAGATGTGAAGAAGGCGCTCAGTAAGGCAGACATGGCCAAGATGTCCCAGAATAGACAAGGAGGCGGAGGTGGAGGTCGAGGCAACCAGGCTGCCTGGGATAACCAAGGCAATGACTGGGACAACAGTGGCAATTATGGCGGCGGTGGTGGCGGCTGGGGTGGTGAGTTTCACATCTTTTGAAAGTATGTTATTTATTTTTTTGCCAATTTCCCCCTAAAGCTAGTAAGTGGCATGGTAAGACCTAGGCCCGGGACTGACTTAATTTTAATTTTGAAAAACACTATCATCTGCTAAACTTTTTATGTATATTGGTAGGGCCTATCTTTAGATGTATAATAACATGTCCGTGAACACAATACAAAAGGATTTCAATATCTCGAACCTTGACATCTCAAATTCCTTGATATCTAGAATTTTTTATAATCCCCTTGAAATCCCCATAAATCACAATGTTTAAAGTACCTCTATAAGTCAAAGGCTTTAAATATTTAACCCTAATAAGTTGTATTTTAACGGTTTTTGGTCAGTGAAAGACAACATCTATAATTAAAATTGTCCTGCAATCGAGCCTCAATAATTCAATAACGGTGGCTGAAATCACAAGCCACCTTACACCTTAACGACAATTTTCAAAAACCGGGGAAAGTGAGGCTGAAGGTGGTTGTAATCTATAAGAAACTATGTCAGAATGATGAGTTTAAAGACGTGAATGGATGTGTTTTAATTTGTTAAAACCGTTTCGAAATAAAAATATCCCGTAACATCTTTCTCAAAATCCAACACTCCAGTATCTTGAATTTACGGTATTGTGTAACATTCAAAGGTCAACCACATATCTACATTGTTGACAGTAAATTAAGGAGTAGGCTATGTCAATTTAGAAGCAAATTTTATAAATTCAATAATAATTTATGTTTAGAAAAGTTGTCCATATGCTTCAATAAGTATGCGTGTTTACAGGTAACAACGGCCCCTGGGAACAACCTCAGGCCATGGCTGGGGGTGGATGGAACTCAGGCGGGGGCCAGTGGGGCAACGACGGCTTCGGCTCCAGCTACCAGCAAGGCTATGGGGGAGGGCCGGTCAGAGGCAACGTCAGTGGCAACACCAGAGCTACTCCTTACGGTGGTGGTGGCGGTAACGGTGAGTGAAAATAAAACTATATATAGTGTCAAACTCACAAACTGACACATCACCAGAACCAGTATCAATATCTTTGATCATGTATATTTACTTTTAAACTGGTCGAAACTCTTGAATGCTAAACTATTTCTAAATATAAAGGCAGGAGTCAACAGCTCCCAGATATCTGTAAGCGCTCTGAAAAGTTTGCGATATTATAATTGGGTGCCGGATGTCCTTGAGAATCCACAGAAGTTAGTTAAGAATCCCCAATTCCTGAGAAAACCTTTTGGCTTCAGGAACTTTCCTCAGATAGCCAACCCATCCTCTACTCCTACGAGTTTAGGTCAAGGATAGTCGTAGTGCTTCAAGCCATCTGCAGGTTAGGGGGGCTCAGCACTGTCATTCTGCTGGGTTCCCAGACATTCTGGGCTTGATGGTAAACTCAAGGCAAATCTGCCGAGTGCTGGCCCACAAGAGATCATCTGATAACTACTAGCTATCAACTCTTGTTGCACGTAGCTGTGGTTTTGGTCTGTGGCAATGTCGCACCAGCTGGCCTATTGCCACAGTAGTAACACTAATTAACAAACAGGTAATCATAAACATTGCCCAGAAGCTCCATAATTAGTGCAACGGCTGTTTAAGCAGGCCAGCTGCGGCAATTATGCCACTTTTGTCTCGCCGCGGCATTGTGTAAGAGGAGGCAATGATTTCACCTATATAGTAGGCCTAGTCTATGCCTGGAATTTTCTGGGTAATGGTTGGAAGGAACACGAAAATCCCCAATTTTGTACTGTAGACACCTGCCAAAACCCTCCTTCCAGGTGCTGTAAACATAATGGAAAGACAAGTTAAGGTCTTGTCAATTAGTGTGGCTTGTAGGAGGCTAGCACGAGAGAGACAGAAAACTTCCCTTACCACACTTCTAATCTATATCTATAATGTGCATGCACATTAAAACGTGCAAATTAAAACGCGTGGTACCTTAAATAATTTCATCTTACAATACCGTTGTTCAGTGTGTTTTATTAAAATGGTTATCCAGGTGGCTACGGTGGTGGCAACCAAGGTGGTTATGGCGGCGGTGGTGGTTACAACCAGAGGAGATACTAGGTGAACCTTCCCTATTCTCCACGTTTAAATGCAGGTAAGTATTTAGGCCTTATTACTTCAGTAGGCAGTAGTCAACAGACTACTGGTGATAACAGATCATGTTCCGTCCCATTAAAGGTTTAAAGATCACATCAAATTTAAATTCTCAGCCTGTTTTTTGTCATTTTTTGCTAAACTTAGTATTAACTACGGTAGTCACAGTCGAGTAAAGAGGCATGTATTATTCCACTCTCTAAAAAATATCGATAAACTTTTGGTTGACTTTGCCCTCTTTTGTGAGAATGTTTTTGCATGGTTCTGATGAAAAACTATGCCACCGACTACTTTGGTCATTTGGTGGTGGGTTTACCACAACTATTTGACAATTTTCTTATTATTTTTAACTTTTGCACATCATATCATATTTGTGCTGCAGTCGCTAATTTTTTGAATCAAATTTGATGACGGGTTAGATGAGGCTATGTAGAGGTTTTTTAAGTTAGTTAGATTACACCTGATCACTTGTACCTTAAGCGTTAGGTCCAAATACCGATTGTACTTAGAGAGGTAGTCTTTAGACCAGGTTGTTTTTTAGTCTGTTCTACCTTCTACCGTACTACATACTTCAATTCATTTGATTAGGCCCTAACTATATTTTGAGAATAAAAATATAGTTTGAATAATTCACTTAAGTGCATGGCTTGAAAAATTATAAATTTAAATTAACTATTTATCTTTAATTCATAGGTGTGAGATATTGATCTCTATTCTCAATACTACAACTAGATTGCACGCTCTGTGCTGGGGTTTCCGACCGACCACTTAACGAGGAACTGTCGCTGTTTACACATTGCCTCTTGCGGCGTTATTATGTTCACGCTCACAAAAACTGCTATATATCTGCCCACAGTAGCTTAAAGCTTAACTTTCAATTAATTTATGCAATTGTAATGTGCATGAAACTGTAGAGATCATGGTAAAATTTTTGTATCAAAATAATTTGGTCGTAAACTATATTTGATACTAGGGATGGTCAAGTCTCGAAATTTCGGGAATTTTTAAATCTCGTTACACGAGACGAGATTTCTTTTTGGCCGGGATTTTTATCAAGACGAGAATAAAAAAAAAAAAAATTAAAAACGCCTGCAGAAAGTCAATGCAATACCCGCAATACAGGAGCGTGTTGTAGTTGCGTTTCCTTTGCGAAGGCGTTCTTATTTAATTAATTCTTCAAATGTAAATATTACTTTAATTATTTTAATAACATTTGAAGAGTTTTTTGTTAAGTGTTAGCAGTGTGAGGAATGTTTTATTACTATAAAAAAAGTCAAAACAAGTAACTATTTTATAAAAATTAATATTTTATTTTATGATTTATTTTATTTTAGGATAAGTTGAACTCTATCCTAACTGATATCACTATGTTTCCTAATCGTAGGCATTTTTAATAAGTTAGGCGTGATTAATAAAAAAATGTTATGCTGATGTTTTTTAATAAAAGATTGTAAATAGGTATTCTTGCATATTATCATTATTTTTGTATTTAAACAGTCATCTAACAATGTTACAAAATCAGGTAAAAATTCCGAACATGCATTTCCCGTTGTGTATGAGAAGGGAAATCCCGTCTTGATCTCGTCTCGAAATTTTATGAGAAATAAAAAATCGCATCTCGTCTCGAACTAAAAATCCAATCTCGTCCATCCCTATTTGATACTGAAATCAAAGTACATAACAATACACCAAAATCTCCATAATTTTATGAAAAGTACAACGGTAAACCCTGCTTTTAAATTGAATAAGTTTTATTAAAGATACAGTACACTCCCGACCGTCTCCAATTATGGATAATTGAAATCGTGGATAATGCAAATTCAACCTTAAATACCCAGAAAATAACTAACATTACATATTCAAGCTTTAATACACAGGTTTACTTAATAATAGAACAACATTTGAAAATTTGTGTGGATACTAGTAATGTGTCAAAACCGAATCTCAAATCTCAAAACCATCAAAACTTAGTTTCGGTTTCGAGATTCGATCACCAAGTTTCGAGATTCAAAAGTTTTGAAATTGAAGATTTTGGCAGTTTTATTTTTGAAACTGCTGACATTTTTTGTGCCATTGTTATTGTTTTTAACACTGTTTCCAAACAAGCTGGTAGCAACAGAGCAAACATCACCATTAACAGTAATGAAACAAGTAAATTTTATCCTGAACTTCAAAAGGTATCTTAAATACTGTAACTGGTACAAATAAGTTTCACATCAACATTTACTAAACACAATGAAATATTGACCACTAAATGTTCAAATTAATCTAATATTCATGTTTATGTTGGTGTTAGAAGTTTAATTTTTTTGTGAAAAATTATGTTGTATTGGGTTTTAAGATTATCAGTCACATTCACACATTTATGTTATGTCACGGTCAGGAGTCTATCTCTTTCAGTTTTGATTGCATACTTAACATTTTATGATTATGTGTATTTTTTGTAACCTTGACCTTTGTAACCAGCTAAGTAAAAAAGTTTTCCGTTTAGGTTTTGAGATTCGGGATTAGATTTTTAAAGTTTCGGTTTCGGTTTTGAGATTATAAATTTCTGGTTTTGACCATCACTAGTGGATACATTTTAAATTTGGTTCTTGTCTACTTACATAACAAATAATATTGGAGAGCCTACCTCTATGTATAGGCCTAATATCAAAAATTTATACACACACAAAATCTAACTTTTCAACTCATCGATTCTAAAATCAGTGACACATTGGTGGTCAATGAAGTCAACAACGGCAACTCGAGTAAACAGTCTGCCCGTTGATAAGCCTTCTCAGGCTAAACATCTTCCTATAACGCACATTTAACTTCCATGATACATTTTTGATTCTGATTTGTTGGTATTGTGGTTAATCCACTTGTGAATAATCGGGAGGCTACTGTACTTTTGTTTTTATCAATTACCTCAGGGTAGCCTTGGATAATCGGGAGTCTACTTTACATTGGTTTTTATCCATGACCGCAGGGTAGCCCCGTTGGATAATCGGGAGTCTACTTACATAGTTTTTTAGCCCCGTTAAATGTGTGGCTGATGCCGTGTGGTACATCCTTAGGTTGCACCGATACAATCCTAGTTCTGAGCACTACAGTGTGCAATCCAGTTGTAGTATAGAGATCGTTGGCATAAGAAGGTCAAGCTTGTCATATCTTGAGAAGATAGGTTTTGATGGTTTTGATAGCTTGATGGCCTCTAGTAGCCCAAGAGCCCATGACTGCCAGACCTTCGTTATTTTACAAAAGCTGAAAGTTTTCTCAGCAAATGCTCCCAGTTCAGTTAAGAAAGATCGGCAACTATGACATTTGGATTTTGGTTACTTTGGCAACAAAAAGGTAACAAAGGTCTGAAATTTGCAAATAACCATCGTTATAGTATAAAGCTTGGTTCATTCATATTTTCTTCAGAGGAATGTTAGAAATCATTTCCCCCATTTCCAGACACTTTGTGCGGTTTAAACCCTCTGCCAGACACCCTTAAAAACTAGGCATGACGAAGATAAATTGTTCGTCATTTTATAAAAGCTGAAATTGATATATGTTATTTGGAGGGCTATCAAAAGAAGTTTTCTCAAAAGCCAGACACTTTCGTTGGTAACTTCATCTAGCCAGACACTTAAAAGTCTGCCGTAATAAGCTTAACTGTTACCTGCAAACAGTGAATTCAGTTCCAGTTTGGAACAGGTTTCTGTGCCAAATGTAAACGGTTAAATAACTTACTTTCTTCCTCACAGTCTGCTTTTATAATAAACCATATGTTTGATGTAAACATATGTTATATTTGCATTTAATTGTTTGTTTATTCCTTCAGTGTTTTGAAAATATGTAATTATGTTCTAAAGCCATTGGACACCTTTAGTTTATTTATTGTTATAATTTGCAATATGTGTTCTTAAGTAACACATTTAATAATTGCGTTAATTAACTTCATAGTATAAAACTGAATTTTTATAAGCTGAGCTTTTATAAAATGACAAAATTAATCTTCGTCATACCTAGTTTTTAAGGGTGTCTGGCAGAGGGTTTAAACTGCACAAAGTTTCTGGCAATGGGGGAAATGATTTCTAACATTCCTCTGAAGAAAATATGAAAGAACAAAGCTTTATACTATAACGATGGTTATTTACAAATTTCAGACCTTTGTTACCTTTTTGTTACCAAAGTAACCAAAATCCAAATGTCATAGTTGCCGATCATTCTTAACTGAACTGGGAGCATTTGCTGAAAAACTTTCAGCTTTTATAAAATAGCGAAGGTCTGGCAGTCATGGGCTCTTGCTCTATAGTAAAAAAACATTTTTAGGTGAGTTCGTTTTAGTTTTCAAATCCAAAACCATTCTATACATTTTACTGTTTAATTTTCTAGGAAAAATTATAGTTTGTTAATATTTTTAACGCACTTCCATCTGTGAAACCCTCATTTTGGCATAGGTACTTGCATTAAGCTAGGTTGTAGATCTAGATGTCTTAATATCGTTGTTGCAGACAAGTTTTTCAAAACAAGTTGTTGGTTATTTTTGAAATATTTACAATGACAACGGTTTTTTTCCGTGATACAAAACAATAGGCGTACTGTTGGGACAAGAAAGCCAACAATTAGGAGACATCAAAAACAGATCAAAATTGTTAGCAAATAACTGTGAAAAATATTTAATAATGTTAAGTCAATAAAGAAACAACTTTATATCAGGATTCGTGTTTTTTAAGGCTTTAACTTATACTCTACAACAAGTTATGAAGTTTCTCTACGAGATAAGAACATACACAAATAATTAAGTTTTGTTTAGTTAGGCAATTATATGAGTTTCGTAATGTCAGTAAACGAGTCTTGTATTCTATAACTCTAGGTTATTGGGCTGCAATGAGTATATAGTGAGATTTGACATGTATTTTACTTGCAACATTTAGGTGTGTCCAGTCAGGCAAGCGTAGGTCTACTTAGGCAGAGATCAATACTGGACAATCAGGCAGGCAAGTTAGAAGCAGGACAGTCTAGGAACATCGGCATTTAGGCGTTACTATGTAATTCATTACACTTTAATGTAAGGTTTCTTTATTTCACAATATTTAGGACTCTCTATTTATAGGGTTGCTTTCTTTTACCATCAACTCTTAGTGTGGTTTAACATATAGGTATAAAAAAAAACATTAAATAGATGGTATTTTCGTCACACCGTTAAACTAATATTTTTTTAATTTGCTGAGATCTCGGTCCTTAGCCAGTATTTCGGATTTAATATCCTACTAGATTTATTAGTGTTGAATGAGTCATTTTTATTTATTGATGTTTTGTGATAAATGTATTTTATTTACTGTGAAAACTTTGTGGAATAAACTAATATTTGTAATAAAAAATTGTGTTTTATTTCCTGCAAAATGTCTTCTATTGAATATTTTCTTAATACAGAAACACAATTGTATTTTGGATTTTTCATTATTCATTTTTTGGATTCTTAGACATCAAAACCCACAAGAAATATATTAAATCTGACACCTTTTGACGACTTTGCTCTCTGGGGCATTGTTGTCGGATGTTGGATCCAATCTGCATGCACCAGAAGAGAGCCTTGTGTGTGACATGAGTGTAGATAAACTTTTGATTGAAGCAGTTAAGGAGTATCCCCTTCTCTCTACAGTAAGTGATAAAGGTTATCATGATAACAGGAAGAAACAGGACAACGCCTGGCAGGAAATAGTGGGTGAAAAATTTGATAAAATGACAGGTTATTGTGTGTTTGCAAAACTAGGCAATATAACAAGCGGGTCCTGAATTTGTATGCTCGCCATATACTAGGTACGTTTTTTAGCCGGAAATTTGAGAAAAATCGGCCGTGTTTACATCCGGTTGCAAGCATTCAAAATGGTGCCGCCAATTGAGACTGCCGCCGACTGTGAAGTGCGCGCTGTAGTTAGATTTTTAAGAGCTTAAGGTGTGAAAGCCATTAAAAATCATCGACAGATTAGTGAAGTGTATGGCGAGAACATTATGAGTGTCATAATTGTATGCAATTGGATATGGGAATTGAAATACGGTACCACGAACGTTCATGATGAGTAACGCACTGGGCGGCGTCATTACTGTCCCCGTACCTATGATGACAACCAGTGCGTTGCTCATCATGAACGTTGGTGGGGCCGTCTTAAAATGTCCTTACCTACTTGCGTACCATTCCGTCACTCATAATGTTCTCGCCATACACTTCACTAATCTGTCGATGATATTCAATAGCTTTCACACCTTTAGCTCTTAAAAATCTAATTACAGCGCTCACTTCACAGTCGGCGGCAGTCTCAATTGGCGGCACCATTTTGAATGCTCGAAACCGGATGTAAACACGGCCGATTTTTCTCGAATTTCCGGCTATGTCTTACCAATAGATGCACATACACAGCGCAAATGTCGAAAATGCCAATCGCAGTGCTGGAACGAAGAAATTTAAAAACGGTCCTTACTTAAAAAACGTGCCTAGTAACAAGGTACAATAAATAATCCTCCTCAGACCCATGAGTTATCCTGAAAATCTTATTACTGTAATGGTCACATTTTATTAGGGGGTTCGTTTTAATTATTTAAAGGCCGCGAAGGCTTGAGCGCGCTTGACAACAATGTCAAACATGTCCACTGCAGCTAGTCATGTCTCCTAGTTCGAGACTCGGCCGCTGTCACCTTGAAGCGCTGCCGTAGACGTGGTGGGGAGAAGCCGAGACCAGCGGACAGTGGACAGTTCTTGAGACAGTCGGCGTCGAGCGTTAGGTTCGCGCACACCAACCAACCCTCCTTAGGCCGTGCGAGCGAACCAAATAATAAGGTATCCGGACGAAGGCGAGAGTAACCCGGATGTAAATCTGGAAGTGTCGTGTTACGTAAGTACACTGTATATAGCTAGCGTATCCGTTGTATTCATCCCCGTATCCACTTTGGCGAGGGAAATTGCGTTATTTATTAGGCTATTCTAGGACGTTTATCGTAGTTTATTATAGAATAACGTAGTTTATCGACCGACGCTGCGAGTGTAGTGTCGCAGTCACATACGCCGACTTTTAGTCATCCAAAGTGGTTTTGTTTTATTGTAATCAGGAGTTTTTATTTATTTTCCTTAAAGCCAAGAAGAATTGGCCTAGGTGCCTTCTACGTTTTGTTTTATTTCATTATTTACTTATCGCGAGTTAGCGTTGTTTTCTTTTAATTCCGAGAAGATTATTTTAGTTTTATTTCGAGAAGTGAGATCTTTCGTTAAGCCTAGGAGCTGGTTATTTATTTTATTTCCTAATCGTCGCCTATTTATCTATCAGCCCTAGTAGTTAGCTTAGACTTGGCCTTGTCAGCGCGTCGCTGTGCTGACACCAAGTTATAGGAGTAACTATAGTTAGTGTATTCCTTAATAGCAACTCGTGTACGGTGCGTCGACGTGCCGAGGTATACAGTGTGTACTTGTGTACTAGCAGATCGGCGCGACATTAACATCTACGAAGATCCAGAAGTGGGAAGCGAGCGACGAGGATTGTCAGCGAGACCCTGGACTACTCGAGCTGTCCGAGCAAATCGGAGGTAAGTTTACGATAGGTGCCCTACCCGACATAAACACCTCACATTACCAAATTTGGATTTTTCGGTTTAAAAAACTATGAAAAACATATACATTACAATAGATTTTTTATTTTGAATATATTTATGAAAAAAATAAAAAAAACGTAACCTACAGGTTGCGCTGGGTCTCAAATAGTACAAAATGGAGCCGTCGAGAAAATGGGTGGAGGCCCGTAATCAGACAAAAAAGTATCTTAAAAAAGCTGAAATAAAAATAACCTGTAAAATGTTACGACTGTAAAAAGGCAGTAGCAGTTAACAAAATGGTATACTGCATTTTGTAGTATCAAAACAGAAATCTATGTAAGGTTCAATGTTCCAGAGCATTAAAAATGAACAAATAGAGATCCAATGTAATCCTAAGTTTGTAACAATGAATTCAAGTCAAATGTTGTAAACAAACCAAGTAACTCTATTAGTAGTAGAACACTATTCCAGGACAATCTCTAGTATTTCTATGTCATGTATTTTTTTATAAATACCATAATAAAGGAATGTATACTTTTAGATAATATTTAGTACTAGGTGAAACCCGTCGAAATCGACGGTCACTGGCAAGGCTTATGCTAATTTTTCATCTACGGAAAGTTAGGTGTAGTGGAATATACTTGAAGTGAAGTTGGCTTTTACTCTTGAACTGTTAGGGACCTCCTCGTTTATATGGTTGTGCGGCTTCATTGGCAACAAATAATTCAAATTACATAACAATGTGGCATTTCCAAAAAGCAATAAATACTGTAAATTGGCTGTTACGTAAATATTGACGTTTACATGTATTGTTAAACAACGTATCTTATAAAGTATGATGTGATCTAGTTTAAAAAGAATATGACCTTTCTATCATGACAGTAGCTGCTTAAATAGTATTTACTCTTTGTGCCTTTTTACAGCCAAAATGTCGTGTTATTTTAAATCACGTTAACAACCCGGTGAGCCACACAATCCGTAAAATAGACCACTACAAATAATTTGTTAAGATAGGTACCTTTTAGGCCAGGTTTCTGTGTTTGGGTGTTATTACACACGATAAGAGCACAATAAGCTTCTTCTGCAGATAAATAATCTGCTGGAGAAATATAAGCCGAATTATAAATTGTCACGATGTGAGTTTGAGCATTTTGTAGCTACATGGGTAAGTTACATAGTATTTTCGAGGCTGCTGCTCAGTGCACTTTAAGAATATATCTTTAGAGATAAATTAAATGGTTTTTGTAATTTGTTGCCGAGTAGCGTTAGTAAACATGCACAACCCATTTCGTTATTCTAATAACATTCATTCAAAGGCTCTCTAAGAGTTCAAATTCTTATTTGTATACTTATCTATATTATGTTTTCACTAAGCTGAATTAACAACATCGAAGTAACCTCTCTGAAAAGTCTGTAGTAAATTGCAGTTTTACAGCTTAATGCCTTTTTAAATCATGCACATATTTCTACATAAATATTGTAAAATGTTTTATCCAGTTGCTGTAAACTTCTATTAATTTAGCAAAATATGGACACTGCTCAAATGGGCAACGTGCCCTTCTGCACTTGTTTAATTTTGTATTGTATTACACAATCGAAGATTTTTCCAATGATTAAAAACTTGTATAACAATAATCTCGTGAGCCTATGATGATCTGTAGAATAATATGATAAAATATAGGCAAAAGTGGGGGAAAAGGCAGACAACAACCCGTAAAATAGATATAAGATAGTTCAATAAGAAATTATTATAAGAGTTCTGTGATAAAAGGAATTTCCACTGATTTCGTAATGGAATATTATATTGCAAAACATGACATGATACAGATGAAAATAAATTTTAAAATCAGAAAATAGCATTGCAAATACTTCTCTTGGACGATTTAGTAACTCCCAATAAATGTGTGTTGTTTAAAATACAATTGAAAATCAACAGCTGTTTCATTAAAAAGTATTATCCACATGGTAAAAATGTAAACAAATCTGTCGAGGTATCTTTAAAGGCTTCTGGGGCAAAGCCCTAAGGGAATTTACTTCGTGTTTCGTTTGATAACTCATCTACAGACCAAGGCCTTTCTTTGGAGACCTCTACCAAGTTTCTTCGTCCAGCCGTTCTCTCAAATTAGTGGAGACAAAGTTTCCAATTAAATATTTAGATTTCCCCATGTTAATCTTTTGGGAGAAAACCCAACTTTGATGGAAGATCCTGCCCAAACTAATAAAGATTTTAAAAAACCAAAAACACTTTGCAAAACTACAGATCAGGGCCGTTCTTTTGACACTTTAATCATCAAAATCGGTCCAAAAATGTGGGAGGAGTTCTGTTCACAAAAATCAGCTTAGCGTATTATATATATAGATGTGGAAACGTAGAAAGATCGTGCAAGCCACGGTCCGCCATCTTTGCTAAGTTATGAAAACTAGAAACAAGAAAAACAGACTGCCAAGCTACATTTCTGGCAAGCTGGCAATCTGGCAATCATGATGTAAACTGATAAAGTAAAATCACACCAAAACTCGACTTGTTGAACTAGTTGGTCAACAGAGATTGAGGTTAGTTAGTCAGACAACTTTATTTTAATGTATTGAAATATGTATAATACAATGCAATAGATAAATTTGATATTCTTTTCCTTCCTGCAAAAGTTACAAAATACTCAGTATAATTTATTTTTATACAACTTCAATGTATTTTATATAACCACAATGGATTCTTAAAGTTGGGATGAATAAATAATAAATAAATAAAACAGTTATTACACCATAACTAATTAACGTATCGGATCAATAAGTACAGTATTCTTAACCATCGCTTTACAGTCCACTCCCATCCTGAAATATCTACTAAAGTTAGTTTCTTTATTTATTAGAATTGGTATAGTAATCCTATTTTAAAATTTATTACTTTTATTAAATACAGTAATACCTAATACACAATTAGCAACATAGTGCTTATTCGACACTAAATGTGCGGCAATACCAGCGCTCACATAGGCAAAGCTATACGGTACCGGGAGCCCGAGGTACCGCTGTGATGTCACAGCGGCGGAGTGGTGGGGAGCCACCTGGCATCACTTTCTGAGCTCGCGTGGCCTAGCCCTTGTATATCTGTAGCCCTGGGTCTGTGGTGCCTAGTTTTCCGTCTGTCTGCATTTATAGGTTTTTTACAAAAAGACTAATAACTCCGAAACGGTTTGAGATACAGCGTTGATATTTTGCAAAAATATTAATCTTATTAAGACCTATTATCGTTAGAAATTATACTAAAAAATCATTAACCATTTCAAAATATGGAACCGTTTCCATTATGGAGAGAATTACGAAAATAACTCGTTTCTCTGTTATTATTTATCCATTCTAACAAACAAGGTATCATTGAAAACTACATTAAATTTCCAAACTTTTTTGTCACTTGCAATTTATTTGTTAAGTTAACGGTTTTCTTGAAATTTGGCATCAAATATTTTAAATGGCCGTCATTTTGAAACGGTTTATGATTTTTTAGTATTATTTCTAACGATAATAGGTCTTAATAAGATTAATATTTTTGCAAAATATCAACGCTGTATCTCAAACCGTTTAGGAGTTATTCGTTTTTTTGTAAAAAAACCTATAAATACAGACAGACGGAAAACTAGGCACCACAGACCCATGTTCCTATGGTGAAATGTGTTTGTCTTGACCTAAGGAATAACGCTATATACATATGTCCAGAGAGTTACGGGACACCCCTTATGTTTAAAATCAAGCCAATAAACAATCGTATGATGACCACTGATAAAATAATACAGAGAAAGTATTATACGCCATTTGGAAAATACCACTGATCGCATAGGAACAGTGTCTTACAGATTTCATTTATGTAATCTAAATTAGGTTATAACAAATAATATTTATCTTGTCATTGGTAATTAAAATGAAAGGAAGCGGACCCTGGCAATAGTTGACAACGACAAGCTCAATCGCCGCTGTTGTATGCTCATGTGAACGGGTCTATTTGATTCTGAGGTCCGCTACGTTGCGCCTGCGACCTAGTCACAGCCTAGCAGCTAGATGTGTGATCCAGGCCTAAGATAATGTCAAACAAATAAGTAATTAACATCAGTGCAATCCGTTGGTGGCAATTTGGTGTGACATATAAGATGTTTAAATCCTAATATTAATACTAAATTGTCTTTCTAGAAAGAAAGATTTTCAAAATTATATTGCAACTTGCAAGCAATGCAGAAGGGACTTGGTAAGAAAAACACTTTTTGTATTGAACTGTGTAATCTTTATAAAGGTAAAATCGGTACAAAAATGTGGCATTAAAATAATTAGCCAAGATATTTGCTGCCTTAGTGATAAAATCACTTGCTTAAGTTGCGATTCCAGCAAACTCAGGTTAACCCTGAAAACTATGTTATCATAGAAAATAAAAGTATTGGATAACAATGCCACAATTATCTTAACAGCTAGATCAAAATAAGAAATAATTAATTGATATCAAGCTATTTAAATTTCTAACAACATCTTTACACTTCCCAAACTTACAAGTGTAGTCAACCAATGTTAATAATCGGTACAAAAATGTGGCATTAATATAATTAGCCAAGATATTTGCTGCCTTAGTGACAAAATCACTCGCTTAAGTTGCAAACAGCAAACTCAGGTAAAGCCTGATAATTATGTTATCATAGAAAATAAAAGTATTGGATAACAATGCCACAATTATCGCAAGAGCTAGATCAAAATAATACCTGGAAATTATCCAAGTGATAAACAAACAAGAAACAATTGATAACAAGCATATTTAAATTTCTAACAACATCTTTACACCTCCTAAACTTACAAGTAGTTAACCAATATAGATATAAGAAAAGTTATCAGCCTTAGTTGTTCTTAGAATCAAACAACTGCGATAATTAAAATTAAGTAACTTCGAATTGCACTTGATTCTCTTGTTACAAAATTATTCAGAGCTTAACACCCTACGTCAACAAGTATGACTTAATTATTTTGCAATAGAAACTTAACTTAGATTAAAAACAGTCATGATGATTGTACATATAAAACTACTTAAAAGTCAGCAAATAAAAATATTACTAAACCAAGAAAAATCCAAATTTCATCAATTATCAGTTCTGATTACATTATCAGCTGTGAAGTCATCATCTTTGTAAAATACAACCATTCAATATGCAAATGATTGTTTTCTACAATATTAAAATTTAACTAATTTGAAACTTTCTTAGAGTTAACTTTATAATGATACATATGATCATACTCTTTGTCCTTAATATCTTTTCAACGATTACAAATAACACACTCAAAAAGGCACAGATTTGAAATATTAGTTGATAAAAACGCAGGTACTGTGATCAGTCTTGAATTCTATCTCTTGACTTACTTAGCCAACAGATTTTGGCATATCAGGTAAGTTTTATGGCAAAGGCTTTGAAACTTGTCAAGGTCTGTGCGGTGGACCCCTGGAAGTAAAAAAGGCAAGTATGAAAGTTGTTTAATGTTTTATTTGAAAAGGTAGGCCTAGCTGTTGAAAATAGAAGAACCTTTTCTTACAGACATTACACAAAGTATATCCTTTGCTAAGGAATTATTATTTCATTGTCGATGTTAGCCTCCGGATTGCCAAATAATGTTAAATAAGGTTCAAATACCTGCTATTAGGCAAACCAATGTTATTGCTAACACAACTAGTTTTGGCTCCTATGTGGAGCCATCATCAGGCTGTACAAGGACAGTTTTCTTTCTTCATAAGAAGAGCGTCATATATTTAACACGATGATGATAAACAATATGACGCTCTAATTATGAAGATGAAACAGAACCTAGCTGTGTTTGCAACAACATTGGATCGCCTAATATAGCAGGTATTTAGACCTTTTTTTAAATTATTATTTGTATCAGGTAGACCAAGTTAGAATTTTGTCTAGTTATAAGAGATTGGTAAAGTACCATTACCTTTGGTTATGTTGTGGGACAGGTCAAACGGGTCCTGAAGACAAACTGGAGTCAGAATCTTTAACTTTTCCCATTCCTGGAAGCGCCGAGCCTGAAAAAAGATGGTAAAACATATTTGAATAGCAAATTTCCCATATAGAGAATAATAAATTAAACAGATACATTTTAATATCAACCAATGAGGATAAAGGAGGGGTCGAACTCGTAGCCCAACAAACTTATCTTAACACAATACAGGGTGTCCACATTCTGGAAAGTCAGGGATAGTCATCAAAAAAATTTTGGTCATGGAAATCCCCAATGATAGATATATTTGACAGGACTTTTCAATGCTCTAGTCCGCTGTAACCCCGACTATTGTAGGACTTTTTGTAGGATTTTTTACAGTTGTATTAGTTTATGAGTTATGAGTTTTTATTAGTTCAATACAATCTGTCCCTACTTTATATTATAATTCAATTCAATATTTGTAGGACATTGTTGCAACAGTAGTGTATATTAAAATGTTAGCCTACAACTTTATTATTAAAACTCAAATTGCAATACAAATATTGTTATAATGTTTTGAATTGTGGCTAAAGTTTTTTCTAAGTTAAGCTAAATATTGTAAACACTGTAAACTCAATAAAAAATCAAAAGTAAATGAAAAAGAAAGTGGAGAGAGAACATTATATTTTATTATTTTATGTGAAATAACTTGTCTAGGCAGTATTATTCGTTTGTGTATGTTTTATTATAATTTTTAGTTAAGTTTGTGAGTCATGGAAATCAATGGTAAATGGTCATGGAAATTAATGGCAAATTTTCTGTGGACACCCTGCAATAAGAAATCTGAAAATGTAATCCGAATCAAGCAAAAACTTGCTGTTAAATAAACAAAACAGGAAGCTGTATTAAAAAATACACATATTTTCTTTAACCCTGAGAATTTAGATGCTAAAATCTACGAAGAATGAAATAACTTGTAATTTTGGGTGCTTTAAGCTTGAAATTCAAATGCCGTAGAGGTTTTTTTTTCTGATCTAGTGGCAAAATTCTAAAAACGTTTAAATAGTACTGATAGACGGGTATGTGAAGTTCTACAGGTAAAATACCCTGTGCCTGTGTACAAGAAGACTGTACTGTGTTCTAACTTAGAAAAATATTAGATGGGGGAGTCTTGACTTTTTTATTCACCCTGTATGGACACAGATAATCTTCTTGTACAAAGACACAGGGTATTTTACCTGTAGGCCTAGAGTTTCACATACCCGGCTATCAGTACTGTGGACCTGGAACGAATAACAAAGAGAGGCAAGCAATGGGTGATCGAAGCATACGAGACTGATGTTTTCCCGATTTTATTACTAACACAAATCTGTCTGTATCTATGTACAAGACCGATTAACCGGATAACACAGTGGTAAAAACTATTACCGGTGTAAACATTATTACCGGTGGAAGTGCATTTGCCCAGTTATCATTACTGTGGACCTGGAACAAAATTCGGCGGTAAACAATATTACCGGTGGAAATGCATATGCCCGGCTATCATTAATGTGGACCTGGAACAAAATTCGGCGGTAAAAATTATTACCGGTTGAAGTGCATGTGGACCTGGAACTAAATTCGGCGGTAAAAATTATTACAGGTTGAAGTGCATATGCCCGGGCTATCATTACTGTGGACCTGGAACAAAATTCGGCGGTAAACATTATTATCGCTGGAAGTGCATATGTCCGGCTATCATTACTGTGGACCTGGAACAAAATTCGGCAGTAAAAATTATTACCGGTTGAAGTGCATATGCCCTCTATCCATTACTGTGGACCTGGAACAAAATTGAAAAAAAAAACGGCTATATACAGTACTGTGTATTTGCTCGACTCTCGATAGTCCAGATTTTTCGTAATCCGGACCGAACGTCCGCCACTTTAGTCCGGATGAGCGTACATGGATACAGACAGCTTTATGGTAGCAAAAAAATCAGGAAAAAAACGGATCCATCAAAACCGGATTCTACCCAAGATCCAAAATTTTTTGGATCCGATCCGGTGCCGGTTCCAGCTTGGATCCGGTTGTCCGATATCCGGATCCGACCATCACTACTTATCAGAAAGATAAGGATATAACATAGAAGGGAGTGTTGCACAATGTCCAATGAAGTCAGTGTCACAACGTCCAAATCTCACCATGTCCAAAAGTACAGTAACTGCAAGAAACACTTTCTAAGCTTAGGGCGTCATGGGATTGGTCGTTGTGCAACAGCACATTTTATACTCTTAAAAAATTAGCAGTAGCACGACGTCCAAAGCAGCTGCCAGTTGCACGACATCCAATAGCTCGGCACTTTTGTACGACGTCCAGAGCTCCTGAATGCGGAGCAAGGTTAGATTAGGTTAAGTTAGATTAGTATGCACTACAGATGGTAAAACAGTCAGCGCAACTGGAAGTGGAGCATCTGCTACTTTTTTAAGAGTGTAAAGTGCACCGTTTCACAAAGACCAATCTCATGACGCCTTGTTTGTTGCAGTTACTGTACTTTTGAACAAGGTGAGATTTGGACGTTGTGCAGCAGTAAAATATTTTACAATGGACGTCTTCAAACAGCTCAAGATTTATATTTTGGATGTTGTAACACTGACTTATATCATTGTACGTCATGCAAGAGCACAAGGGCCTAGATGTTTAGGGTTTTTTTTTTGTGAGCAGGCTTACCTGAATGGGAAAGAGTTCAAACTGGCACTAAAGATACAACACTTTACACATAGACACAAAACATTTAGAATATTTCACTGTCACTGAAAGCATTTTCAACTAAGGAAGAATATTTTCTTCAGGTCAAATATCTGGAAGATTTCCCACTGGAAGTGTCACTGCACCGTGGTCGACTAAAAAGTGGCCATTTTCATATTTCAATAAATAAATGGCCTCTTAAATAATTACTCAAGTAAAATCTTGAATTTATCTTTGTCTTCAATATATTTCATTTAATTAGGAAGCTTGTCAAAAATCTAAGCAAATATACTTGGGGTAATAATGTATTACTTAGGTAGAATTTTTTTGGGTAAATTAATGTTACAGATATTGGATGTGATTGGTGTTACTATTGGACTGGAAAAACTCTCTCTTCTTCAGTTGGAAATGCTGACAGTGACAGAGAAATATTCTAATGTTTTGTGTAATTAGTATACAGTTTTGTGCCTCTTGTGCCAGTTAGGACTTTTTCCCATTCAGGTAAGCCTGCTATCCTAAAAAAACTCCTAATTGCTTATCAGATGGTTATACGGTTAGTGCAGTTCTCACCTTGTCTACATATGGATTGAACTCTTTTGGAAGATCTCTCAGATCCTTGAATTGTTGGCGACTTAGAGTTTTTCCATTCAAAGGACACATGACTGTGTTTCTGAAGGGGAAGTATGCATAGGTTTTAAAGAAGTTGGCGAGCAGTTCCAGGTTTGATTCTTGACAGTAAGTTTTGAAGTAAACACTCACATCTCTCATGTCTCGATGAAACCGACAATCCCACTCTGAAATATTATGTAACTCTTGAGATAAGTCAATAATTACATGCTTTCGTGTAAATATGTGGTAACTGGTGCATACATTTTAAACAACACAATAAAGTAATTGTTTAAATAATTTGACCCCATTCATAGTCTATTATTTTGTTGTTGTATTCAATATTTGATTTTATAATGGGACTAGCTGAACCCGGCAGACGTTGTCTTGCCTTTGACTATTTATAATCCCGCGGGCTTTGCCCCGTTTAACTTCTTAATTTTCAAGATGATCTCGTTCGCATGGCTCAATCAAGTCCTGGTTGAAGTTCGTTCGCTACGCTCACTCACCTTTAGGTTGGAGCTCGTTTGCTACGCTCACTCACCTTTAGGTTGGAGCTCGTTCGCTGCGCTCACTTGCCTTCAGGTTAGCTCGTTCGCTACGCTCACTTGCCTTCAGGTTAGCTCGTTCGCTACGCTAACTCGCCTCCAGGTTGAAGTTCGTTCGCTATGCTCACACACCTTTTGGTTGCAAATTAGCTGTTGTCATAAATGTAAAAGTAATAATAGTGCTGCACCCTGTTGGTAATCCTTGTAACTTTAATGCTATTGAACATCATAGAACAGATCCAACTTGTTTAATTGAAACAGCTGTTAAGATTCATTAATTCCATTTCTCATAAGGTTAACATGGGAAACTCCAGAGCCACTGGGGCAGAGCCGATTGGACGGATCACGAAATTGATGGTGTATAAACCTATTCCATGACATTCTACACGTATGTACCAAGTTTCGTGGCAATCGGTTCAGCGGTGTCTGAGTTTATCACTGCCAAACAAACAAACAAACAAATATCTATACAAACATCCTCTTTTATACTTATAGATTAAATCATTTTGAAATCACGTAACGATTTATAGTGTTTTACAGTAAAGCCACAACTACACGAAGCCAGTTGGCGGGATGGCTACCTGCCACATGTATCTTGAAACAGAGGCAGGTAACCTGCACTGTGACCTACCTGCTCTACTGGCCTCCTGTAAAAACGTGGCTTAATGGTAGAATCAATGTAGCCTATATTCACTTTCTTCCAAAAAGGATAATTTCACACGCTATCTATCCCTTTTGTGTCATAATCATACTATTAAGTTTTTTAGACGGACGTATAATTACATTTAATAACTGACAAATGTCTAATGCATCACAGTGTATGCCTAACGACAAAAAACTTGAAACAATAAATGTAGGAAAGAAACATTCCTGAATAACTAAAACCCGGGAATTTGGTATTCTCATTATTCAGGTTACCAGGGAAAGCTTATCAGTTTTATGCCCTTGAAGCCCTTAACCCGTTGGCGCCGACTTACGAGCGTTACTCGTACGGCCGCTGCAGGCCCGGCGGCCGACTTACGAGTGCCGCTCGTGTCACCGCTAGGCAGCGCAATTAGTTATTTAGTTATTATTATTTTTCGCCCTTTTTGTTTCTTCTTACTATTATATAGTTTATAAATATCTTGCTTCTTGATTTGCGTATTTACTCATTTATTTTAGCGAATAACAAACAATTTTGTGTTGCCATGGAAACCACATATCACCAAAAATCAGCTGCGGTAAAGTAAACAAACAATAAAAAAAAATGTTATCTATCTATACTATTATAAAAAAGAGGTGGTTGCTGTATGTGTGTATGGGAAAAGTAAACTCGAAAAATACTGGTCGGATTGGGCTGAAATTTGGCATGATGATAGCTCACATTCCCGATTAACATATAGGCATATTCTTATTTCAAAAATCCTTTCGGGCTCCGCCCCAGTGGCTCTGGAGTTTCCCATGTTAACCTTATGAGAAATGGAATTATTGAATCTTAACAGCTGTTTCAATTAAACAAGTTGGTTCTGTTCTATGATGTTCAATAGCATTAAAGTTACAAGGATTACCAACAGGGTGCAGCACTATTATTTCTTTTACATTTATGACAACAGCTAATTTGCAACCAAAAGGTGAGTGAGCGTAGCGAACAAACTTCAACCAGGACGTGATTGAGCCATGCGAACGAGATAATCTTGAAAATTAAGAAGTTAAACGGGGCAAAGCCCGCGGGTTACAGCTAGTTACTTATAAAAGTACACAACTTTTGATTTTTCTACGTAGGGAATCGATTGAACTTTATAATAGTAGTGCTATTTGATGTCTGGATTAATCTTGGAATTTGTATATCAAGTTTACTTTCAAAATATTGTTTTTAAAATTTTTATTTTTATAATCTTTATATATATTTTTTTTAGTTTAGAGCTTTGACTATCCAATTACCACTTTTCTGTAGACAATTTTACTGTGAACAAAATGGTGAAAGAATTATTAATTTATTACCTAAGGTTTTCTTTCTATAGCAGTTAGAGTAAAAGTCTACAAATTCCGTAAAATTAATTGCCGCCAGAGGGTGCTGCAGGTAGCGCATTAATTCCTTCCCCAATGGGTTAAAGTCCCATTGTTATTATAATGGGAATTCAATCTTTGAATATTTTAAAACAGATCATTTATATCATCAGTTAGAAACTTTTTACAACTTTGGTTTCATGTCTGTTTTGTTTATTTTTTATCAATATTGAAATATTCTAGGTTAACACTTTAAGCCCTAAGCCAAATTTTTATATTTCTCTTGTTAATTATTTAGTTTGGTTATGTCCTTTTATTGCTTTTATGTATTTCATAAATACAGGGTGTTTACAAAATAATACCGCTATTTTGGATGGCAATTGCTTGGTTACTAATTAGCGGTGTGCGATGCAGTATATTTTTTTCGATTCGATGCAGCACGGCATGATTTTCTTTAAAAATTAAATACAACATGTGTTTCTGTAATGGATCCTTTGCCTTAAAAAAGTTAAAGTAAAAAATGTACTAAATAAAATTATGAACAAGAGGATAGTTGCTGGCCTAACCTCACTAATGGAAACTGCTAATTTTATGGTTGGCCTAAGGAAATTAACCCTTCACTAACAATTAGAATATGCCTATATATCAATAAATATATTTGTTGGCTTTCAATACTTCTGGTTCATTCTTAACCCTTTGCGGTCGAGTGGCGAGTATAGGTCGCCGCCCGCCATTTTGCCCACTGCTCAAAAATAGCGGCCTACAAGGACATAAAAAAAAAATTCAAAAATCAAAAAAGTTAATTTTTACGGTCGAATGGTGAGTATAGGTCACTGGGCGCCATTTTCCTGACTGCTTGAATGGCAAGCTAAATTCACCGGAAAATGTGGAAAAAATTCGACCTCAAAGGGTTAAATCAGCGCAAACCAAAAAGTTGATAATCAGTGTTTACTGTCTATTTAATACATTATTGCAGTCACCTCACAACAGTTAAGACATCATGAACTACATACATACAACACAAGACATGCCACAAATTTCACCCTCCCACTACCACTACACTGCCTAAGGCCGGTTTCACACGAGCCACAAACGTGCCACAATCGTCGGCAGAAACGCGCCACTTGCAGCGCTCAATCGCGTGGGACCTTTCAGACGGCAAAAGCATGATTCCGCGATTTCCATCAGTTTATCGCCATTTCATACCGCACCTCCCTGAAATAAACCAAAACACCAGTCCGCTTGGAACAACTACGAGTGCAGTTCAGTGCTACAATGGACGATGAAGAAGATTTATTTTTTATAATGCTTCTTCGTGCGGTACGACGTCATAGAGTAATTATTTGAGTAATCTTTACATTCTTGGGCCCACAACACTGGCCTACACCCTACTTTTACGATAAAACGGTCTGAATCTAAGTCAGATATAACTTAATGTGAAATAAAAATTCGAAACAATACAGGGTGACTGGTTGTTTTGACTGTCTGAGTGGCAATAACCAGCTACAAACGCCAAAATTGTCGAGAACAGAGCCACTGCATGCGATTGCAGCGCGTTCTAGCGCCAAACGCGAAAAGACGCCACTTCGTGTGAAAGGCACGCCGCGTTCCTATGTTAAGTGAATGGGGCTATCCTTTTTTGCGTCAGCCAGCGATTCTCGCGCCACAAGCGCGCCACAACTGTCAGAAGCAGCGTTTCGCGATTGTCGGGCGTTTTGTGGCTCGTGTGAAACCGGCCTAACGCTTTTCGAGAAGAAACCTTCATACAAAGGAGCGCTCTTCTTCAACCACCTACCCGACCATCTAAGAAGCCAGCCACCCCAACGTTTCAAGAACCAGCTAACGGAATGGCTCCAAGGAAGACCCTACTACTCAGAATCAGAATTCCTGAACACCTGACACAGCGCCGCCGCCGACGAGAGCTCTCTCTGGGCATCAAAATGTTAACTTTGTGTTATCACATTTATATAAAAAAAAAAAAATCTTGAGCATTGTATAACTTTGACAATCTAAAATCTTTTGTTTTGACGCATGTACTATTCTCCCACAAATAGGCTATGTAAATAAAGAACATTGTCTATTGTCTATTGTCTATTGTCTATTGCATGCTATGAATAAATAGATCTGAAATTAATAAAAGTGTGTGTAAACTAAAAAGTTCAAAGAGATCAGTGAGTTCAGAGAGATCATTGATTAGATTGATGACAATCTGAATTTTAATAATTGTTCCAAATTTTATCAAAATATGAGAAATAAACTGTTCTTTTCCCTTCAATTTGACGTTTAAATCGTTTAATTATCTTTAACCCCGAGCAACGGCCGTTTAAAATCCCGGCATTCTTTTGTAAACACCCTGTATATTTATTTCAACTCAATATATACCCATATTATTAAGCAATAAGCTTATTTGCACATGTACGAGATTTAGAAAACCCTCAAAATATCTGCATCATTTATCAATCTATGGCAGGTAGCTCGACAATGGGTTTAAAAACACAAGTTCCAGCTATTTGTTTACATACATCTTTCATTTTTAATCTAAAACAAGAGGTTCTACCCGCGAATTCACAGGTGTACAGAAGCCACCATTAAATTAATTTAATCAACTTTGAATTGAATTTAAATTTCATTTAAAGGGCCCAAATTCGAGAAATTGTCATCTGAAAGGATGTTAAAAGCAGTGGAACCTTCAAACCTTACGTCCTAAGGTGGCCGAGGTGGGTACGGTTGTACCTGAACTCGCCGCTCTCTTTCACGACGCCTTTATTACTTTAAAACTTTACTTTAATACTTTTCAATGAACTGGCGACCAATTAAAGATCCATGACAGCCTCTTAGAACGAACAACATACATGGTTTGTTAATCTCATATTCATCGTGTTTCAAACTTGTTTAATCACTCACTTGTATCAAACAGTTAGAAATAGCTTCAGAGTCCATTCACCATAAAAGTAAATAATAAAATAAGTAAACAAACTATATTGTCAATTGCATTGGCCAGCTGTTGTTCACTAAATTAATTGAATAACGTTAGCTTCCAAAACATGCAAGGCGTAGCCCTTTTGAAATCTGCCTGTGGGCAGATTCCTTAGGGAGTTCGTCCATATCAATACTTTTCGGCAAATCTACACACTCTAAGCTTCATTTTGATATGCCATATACCTATATTTTTATTTGGTAAATGGACTTAACCGTTTACATAAAATTTGATTGTATCACTTTAATAATATAATAGATATTTCTCTATTTTATTTCAAATCTTTCAAACAGTTAAGAATTCTAACTTATTAGTGTTAAGGCTGTACGTACTTGCGACATAGTGTGGTTTGCATTTCTCCTGTAAGGTCGTAACAGGGCACACAAGAGGGTGTCGCGGCAGTCGCATGAGGTAGAAGAGCACAAGCCAAATGGTTGAATAAGATGTGAATTTTCTCGGACCTAACAGTCCGTTCATCTCCATCCACAGCTTGATTGTGACTACCAGCCAGCGGACACGAGGGTCCATATCCAGGTACAGCCTGTCATCACAACATACAGAGTTAAATAGGGAAAATTGTGGTCCATGCGTGATCGTGGCTCTCTCGTTTCATCTCTATATAACCCCTCAGAGTTAAAATAATATTTTGCTTTTGGTTAGCTTTAAAAAGTTATAAAGTAAATTTTAAATTTACGAGAGCCGCTTAGAAAGTAACAGACATTTCACGTTGGCGCCCCTTGGGGCGGGCGCTCTTCTACAACTTCATTTTTTAGAACATCACAATCTGGCTTTAATATTTAAATGACTTAACAATTAAGCGCACTTCAACAATGACAGGATTTACAATTACAGCACTTATTTTTAATACATCACTGAAGATCAAGTACAAGGAGATATGAAGTGTATAAACCCTCTCCTTGGCCATAAAACACGTTTTTGTCAAATTATAAAATATTTTTTCCCCAAAATAGTTATTTGTGTAACTAGTGGGCAAAGTGGCACTTTGCTGCACACGAGAGCAATGTTTACACATAGCAATGTTATGTTGGATACGAGAGGAATGATCTCGAGTGCAGCAAAGGCCTTTTGCACTCGTGTTACACATTATATTTTTCCTCCAGTCACTATAAAGCATATAAATAATTAGTCTTACAAACACTATACAACACGTTTTTAAGTTCAGCTGGCAACTCAAATAGGTGCCCTAGAGAAAGTAGTACCCAGTCCGTATCACTCCGCTATTTTTCCTCGGCAAGAAATGTGCTCCGCGTTTTGAGAATATAGTTCCGTATGTTTTTGTAATTTGAAGTGTTTTCCGCGCCTAAAAAAATGCTTTAAAGGTATTTTCTTGTTTATTAAGATCGTAGGAATGTTTTAAAAACGTTTAAAATAAAAGTCCAGAAATACCGAAACTATAAACACGAAATGACAGGTTAAATCGTAGTTATAATAGTCAATCAGCTGCTCATAGTATAATTATCTTTAAGTGTTGCCAACCTATTTCCAAGCATACACGGATTACGTGCATAATAGAACCACGCTGTTTTGTGTTGTTTCGTTGGAATCCTGATGTGCGGCAAAGTATAAACCGTACGGCAAAGTATAAACCGTACGGCAAAGTATAAACCGTACGGCAAAGTATAAATATACAGCAATTAGCAGCTTTCTGTACTATATACAGTACAAGGAAGCCAACTTTGTCGGGTGACTGTAGGAAAAAAATCTTTTTTATATGCCTCCAAGTAGATTCAGGGTTCTAATTTTCAAACATTTTCTGGAGGAGTGCCCCAGATCCCCCCTCCTGAGGGTCATCCTAGTTACTCCTATGTAATAGGTTAGGTATGTGCTATTACAATACACTGTAGTGAGTGCATCGAAGTGTAGTGAAGCATCGAACCATTGTTTGTTGGCGCTACACTCAAAGTTGAGAGCTTTTAAGTTAATATTTGCTTTGCGTTTTAAATTTGAATTACCAAGTGAATTAATGGAAAATAAAATAAATAGTAAAAAAATACATAACACCTCACTTTGCCTTCAGACAACACCGGTACAAAGTGTTAACTTCTGATTATGAGAACCTTTGAATAGAACTGTTGTTAAAGATCAACGTTTTCTCACTTGATCAACTGAGAATTCTCCACTGCCAGTCCGTTGCGGAAAGAGATGTCACACTTAGTATGGGTCTTCAAGTGAAGCACCCTAATGATAGGCACTCTGGCGTCCTGGATAGCTTCAGTCACTTCAAACTTTGATCCACGCAGGTTCAGCTGGTACGCTAAGTGATGCATGATGTCACATTGTTTCTCATAGCTCAAGTCATGGTAGAACGATTTTCCATCTGAAACAATCATTTTACCATTTTTCAATCAATCAACTTCATTAACAGGCCTCATAGGACAGTCCCGGCTTACCAAAACAGATGTTGCACCAATTCACATTGGAGCTTCTGCACATTAATGTTTACCTGTTTGTTATTAGTATTACTGCAATAGGCCGGCCGGTGAAATTTTGCCACACACCAACGCCACTGCCCAATGAGGCTATGGATATAGTTGTGCTATTAACATTGCTATTACATTACATGTATTGTATTGTCAAGCAGTTTGCATCAACCATTCTTGTAACTCTCATGGAAGCTTAAGGGCATTTTTACTTATTTGTTACTTTATGATTCTTGTTCATTGGTATTTTAATTATGACTTTGGTATGGTCAAAACTAATATTTCAATGAAAAGATGTAAGAAAAAGGGTACAGTTAAAGTTCGATTTGTGGGTCCTTATGTTTTTAGGATAGTTAATGACGCTGAAACTGCCATTTGAAACAAGCTTGTGGACATAATGTCCTTAATTAATGTGATTTTGTTTTTGTTTAGGCCAACAGGTTACGCCTCTTTCACACGAAGCGGCGCGCGCCGTGCGGCGTCCGCCGTGCGGCGTCCGCCGTGCGGCGCTGCGCCGGACAAGCGTGTGTCTTCACACTAGTATGGTTTCGTGCGGCGCGCGCCGTACGGCCCTCCTAAATATTTATTATTTTCTGTTCAGTTGTGGCTTTTAAATTAATACTCCACTTAAAAGTTCAAATAAAATTAATACTGTAGGCTAATTTAAAATATAAAAACTAGTGCACCTGTTGCTCGAATTCGAGCAATTGCAAAATATTAAAGTAGTTTTTTTACGAATAATTGTCACAATTTCCGTCAACTTAAAAGAGTCAACTCATAGATAATGTAACCAATCACTCCACTCCACTACTCCAGTTATCGAAACTGGAAACGAACTCACTCTGAAAACGAACGCTCACTCCACTCCATCTATCGAAACTGAAAACGAAAACTCTCTGTGTATCATGTGTGTACTATGAACAGTTGTAATTAATACTAATTACTCGTCTGTTTAACCATAGATAAAAAAATACTCCCCCTAAAATAATAGAAACAAAATTTCGTCGACACTAGCGCCCAGTATGGCGTACATGAACTAGACATGAAAAACGAGCTTCAAAATTAACTATGGGATGAGAAGTCTACTTGTGTTGGTTAGTCTATGGTTTAACTAAACAAAATCTTGTCTTCATAAGATATACATTGGGATTTTCATGGCCGGAGGGCAAAGCCCGAAGACTTTTACTACAGGAATTGGTGAAAGGGTACACAACAAATACTTAATTTTGACACATCGTTTGTAAAAATCCGTCCATTATTAACAGAGGAGTAGTATTTTATAGAAATCGCCTTCACGTATTATATATAAGTATTCGTCATATCTGAAAATATTGTATTCTAGAAGTTAAAAAAATGTTACATTACGTATGAATTACTAAATTATTAACTTAATACTAAATATTCTCCTCTAGTTATTAAAGAAAAAAATTTATTTTAATACTTTAAGTTGACCGATTTGCATGGGATGAACATAAAAATATATGTTTTGTAATAGCTTTAAATATATTATTTTCCGATACAACGATATATAATTTCTTAATTAACTGTTGCACCTTCTTGGTCAGGTTGTTTGCCTAAATTGAGACAGCGTAGGGGTTGGGCCGTGCGGCGCGCGCCGCACCGTGTGAAAGCTCCCATAAGAACCAATGCACCTTCACCAAGTGGTCCGGCGTGGACGCCGCGCGGCGCTGTCGTCCGGCTCAAGGTGCATCCGGCGGTAACTCGCGCGCCGTGCGGCGAATTCGCCGCGCGGCGCGCGCCGGACATAGTGTGAAGGGACTCATATACTCCCATAGCCCTACGCCGGATCCGGCGGGCGCCGCACGGCGCGCGCCGCGTCGTGTGAAAGAGGCGTTAACGATAGTGACGGGGATCGGTTTGTGTAGGCATAGTATTCTCTTTCAATAGAGTATGACATTTGAAATGTAATGAAAATGAATATTTGTGTTTGAAATATATTTATAATTAATTGTATATGTGTAACCAGCGAGAAGCTCTCGAAAGATGTAATGTGCTTTATTTGATAATTTAATGTATTTGAAATATTATAGTCTAAAGACAGTCTTCTTTGAAGCACATAATTCCTCATCTCCATAATCAGTAAAATTATAAATAAACTTGGTTTAATAGAAATGAAATGAAAATTAAACATGCTCATTATTCTAGTAGGGTGAGTGGGTACAAAAGAGGTTGTCTCGACACAGTCGCTGTAATGTAGTTATATAGCTTATGTTTTCACTGTACCGATCATCCATAGGATAGGTTTGTTTATAACGCAAGGTCAGATAACCAGAGGTCAAAGGTCAAAAGATAAAAAAAACTTGCTTACAAGTAACTTTACCAGTGTTTTGCAGTGGGTGACAATGCAAATATTAGAATGTAGTGCAGGGGTCTCTAACCTTTTATCCTCTAGGGCCACCGGCACCATCGTATTTCTTTTTGGAGGGAAATCATATTTCAGTGCACCAAAATCACCTCATGAACCCACAAAGTAGTTAACTTAATTAACAGTTTAGTGGTTGTTTTTGATATTTTCTTGCTTTGAGCTGATTTCCCATATGAGGAATAGGCTATTACCGAAGGTCTTATAGTAAGACCCTGATCCGGGACCTATTTACTTGTTTTAAAGTCCTCAAAGGCAAAAAACAGAAATATTGCAATAACTTTTGAACAGTATTTTTTTACAGCTTTCGGTGTTGTACCATTTTTTTATAAAGGCCATAAGATACTAAATTTTAATCAAAATTGTTCAAGCCACTTTTGGAAAAGTCAAAATTTAAATCAAACATTCAAAAAGAAAAAAAAACACCTAGAGATACCATGGTGAAGTGCCCACTCGTTACCAAATTTCATCAAAATCAGACCACAGGTGAAGTCTGTAATTCTGTACACACATACGCTAACACAGACATCACTTCGATAACAACATTTTTGTGTTCAGAGGGATCCAAAACAAATGAATATTTCCATTAAAAACTCAAACTAAAAAAATGTCAAAAACAATCCTTTCCCCCTTCCCAAAAACTCGTTAAAACGGACTGTTTAAATGCATACTGTATACAGTATTCAACTTAAATTTTGGAGAGCATTGTATTTAGACAATATGTGATCACTGGTCTCAAATCTTTCCACGAGAACAGTTGTTTCAGGACCGCCCACTTCCTGCCGATCTAGTCCTGTTAAACCGATCTGCTGATAAAGATTGTACGGTCAAAGAGATGTCATTTCCGCCGAGTGTAGTCCGGTTAAAAGGTATCCGGATAAGAGGGAGTCTACTGTCAGGGTGTCTACCAACTCCTGGATGAAAAATTCATGGACAATTCCCGTACATTTAAGGACACTTTGTCGACCTTTTTCCTTGATGTTACCAAATATATTTTCCTGATTTGTCGAGCCGTAATAGTCAATTTTCACCGTATTTCTCTCTGAGGGAAAACGTTATTAACAAAAGACAAGTATTAAGTTTCAAAGTAGATATTTATTTTAGTAGGTATACAAAATTTACTATAGGAACACCTTTGTAATGTAATACAGATCTTAAAACCACACTGGTACCAAAATGTCATTTTTGGTTGAAAACCACACTCAAACCAAAATGTTATTTTTGGTTGAAAACCACACTGGTATCAAAATGTCATTTTTGGTTGAAAACCACACTCAAACCAAAATGTTATTTTTGGTTGAAAACCACACTGGAATCAAAATGTCTTTTTTGGTTGGTTAAGTTTAAACCTAAAATCTTTAAACTTTGAACCACTTAAAAACTAAGAAAAACATCTATTGAAGAATTGTCAGATCCAACCTAACAAATTCAAGTTAAATAGAAAACGATCAACTTTATTAGCACTTAACCTATAAACCACATAAAAACTAAGAAAACCATCTACTGAACGATTGTCATTATTTGTTAAAAAACCCTAAACATAAAATAGTATTATTTATTTTTAAATACAACATAACACATTCAAGTTAAGATAGAAAGAATCAACATTAATAGAAACTTACAAAACAAAACAAAAAACACTTAACTAAAAAAACATAGATACCAATAACAATGTTTCTAGCAAACACATTGTCACAAATATTGAGATGATAAATAACATCTTTTAACAAATTTAAATCTAAAATATTAAATGAAATGGTAATATAAAATGATTTTACATTAGGGTTTAAAAACACAACTTAAAACAGTTATTAAAGGATTCACATAAAAATGCTGCACTTCCTTGAAACATTTAACTTAGCTTTGATACAGTAGCCCATTTATAAAGAATGGATTAATTGTTTCATCAGACAGAAAATCTAATTTCAATAACAGATTTCAATTATTTTTCAAGTTATTGTTTGAAAAAATAATGGAACTAAAGAGTGCATTAAAATTAATGAGACTTTAATGGTAGAGATTACCATTTTAAATTAATGGTGTCACAACCATTAGTTATTTAGTTCATAATTAAGTAATATAATTTTGCATTAGAGTGAAATGCATAGCTTAACCAGTTGCCAATATTAACACACAAATGATAAGGGAAAGCATTTGGTCTGGGTTTGATAGCCTTACTATTGAAGAACTTTGGCACATTCCATGAAACTGAATGCCTGAACTGCATTACAACTTCCTTTTCTTTATTTCATTGGTTTTTTCTTCAATTATTGCAGCTTCTTCTAATAACTTTCTTTTTCTTTCTTCAAGTTCTTTGAGTTTTAGCTTAGCTTTTTTCTTTTCATCTTCAGCTTGGGTAGTTCTTTCTTTTTCAGTCTTCATCAATGCTAAAGCTTCCTTATACTTGGCACTTGAGTTTCTAACAGCATGTATTAATTTTGGTTCAATATTTAAATTTTCTACATTTCCTGCTAGTACCAATGAGTCATATATTATCCTTTGAGCAATTAAGCTGCTTTCTTTAAGATTTTCAACTATTATTTCTTTATTTACAGAGAATCCTCTTTCTACATTAGCATTGCCGTGAGAGAGCGAAAGCAGGACTTTAACAACTTTGAATAAATGAATGTATTCTTCTTTTCTGCCAATCAAATTGAACCAGAAATCATCCAAACGTGTTTCGTGCCTATTAAAAGAATTACATTCACTTAATACATCTGGCGAGGATAAAAGCTGTTTATATTCCCTGTCCGCCAGTTCACAATGTCTGGGAGACACTATGTTGGCCTGCAACAAAGCATTCAAAGAACTCTTTAAGGCTTCCATAGTGTCTCCTTTGGAGATTAAAGAGGGATTTAAACAAGTTACCGCTTTTGTTAAAGGGTATTTAAGTGGGCTCTTTTCCAACAACTTAGCTACAAAATGCATTAAGATTTTTCGACATTCTTTGCGGAACTGCAAAAGAGCTTTATCTGAACGTGTTGGACAAAGTCGAAGTGCAGCGCGAGTACCATACCCTAGTTCAATTTCTTTAACAGGCAAAAGATTCTCAAAAATATTTTCCGCATTCTTTTTGAAGACATCAATCTTGGTTATGTCGCTACCTTCAATTATATCTGGCTTAACAATCTTTGCCGCAATATTTTTCAACACAAAAGATAGTTGGCCATACAAAAATGGTGACAAAGGTTTGTCAGACTGAAATTCGGTTAAAAACGGCTCTATTTCGTCACAAAGGCTTTCAAAAAACGCGATCTTGGCCATTAGCAGTTTGTCTTCTAGATGTTTACAAATAATTGAAAAACTGGAACAAGATGGTTCTTTTGCAGTTCCCTTCACTTCACTTACATATTTCTGTAGGTTTGGTAACATATCTTTCACTCTTCTAGCAACCTTTCCATTTTCTATCCAACGTACTGAGCATACTGTAAAAGGAAACAACGATGAGCCTGTAATTCTGGTAAATTCGCCTCGTCTCCCAGGGGATTTGTAAAATAAGTTAGAAACTGCTCTAAAAAAGCTTATGAGTTCCCAATCGCTCTTTTGAAACCCAGTTTTGAAAGAATTATGTAAGGTGTGCAGACCACAAGATCCTAAATCTAAAAGTTGTACTGAATCAGGCGAACATTGTATTCCTTCTTGAAAAATTCTTTTAAGTTTAAAATTAACATTCGGTCCGTCCATTGATAGCTGTATAATTTTCCCCATAAACTCTTCGTTTACGTTGGTTCTAATAGCCTCTAGTAAGTCTTCACTAGTTGTGTTACTTAAAAACGCTGATGTTAAATAACGAGTGCAAACCCTGTTTTCTTCTTGATTCCAAAATCGTACCCCCAAATCCATTTGTTGTTTATTGGATATTTTGTTTAGACTTTCATCGAAACCTAAAACTAAATATTCTGAAGCTTTCATAACTGCTTCAAGTGTACCCTTAAAATAAGGAGCAAGACCATAAACTATCATGTAGGACAGTTTGTCTTTTTGTAATTTAATCTTTTTAGCGATCTCACTATCATGAAACATGTACGGAAAAAGTCTAGTATAGTTAGCAGCAGCTCTAAGCGAGCTGTGTGTCATGACTGTTTGGCAGGCCCAAAGAATTTCAGCCTTTGTGACATCATTGTGATGGAGATATGAATCAATTTTTGATGTAGGCCTAATAATTTTGGTGGTAGGAACTGGAGGGGTAGTTATTGTGGAGGCGGAAGTTGACGCTGTTGAAATGGGTTCAGTAGGCCTTGATGTACTTGGCATAACTTCTACTGATGGAGTGTTAGGCCTTATAAAGATGTCCATAGGCATTGATTTTTTAGCATCTGATTCTAATCTCATGTGTTTTTTGCCTAATGAGTGGCTTTTCACAGCAGTTTTACCCATGCTTTCAATGGTGAAAGTGGTGGAGCAAATAATACATTTAGCAGAATATACATCATCTTTTGCTGGTTGCAGCCATGAATATACTTCCTCCCAGTCTTTTTGATACTTGCACCTTCCTCTTGAACGCTTCATGGTTTCCTAAAAAGAAAAAGTACCACAAGTTAGGTAAGCCTACTTTGGTATATGATCCAGCACCCAAAAATGAGTGTTATCACATTTGTGAAAATAAATTAATGTTGGGAAAACTGAATGATAAAAAGAAGTTAGTCTATTACTTTTCGATTAAGTGAGTAGTTTATATCAGTTTAGCTTTTAGGCATATTAAATTCATTGTTAAATTTATTGTTAAATTGCACCTAGACTTACATAAAGAGATTACATAATTAGATAAACCTAGGCTTACTCCTAGCTGTTTTATGGCATTAACCTTTGTCAATATAGGCAGATATAAATTGAAGGTTAAAATAATATGATAGGCTACTGAGCAACTCCACCAGCTACAATCTGATTCAACTACATTAAAATTAAGCTTAGGAATAGTAGCCTATGTTTAACCATTCCTGGAAATTGTCTAAACAAACATAGCAGCAACCTTTGGTTGACACAAAAAACTAAATCAAAACGCATTGTATGTCAACAAAATGATCAAATATCAAATACAGTTATTTATTAGACTCACTTACTTTTGATTGATGTAATTGTAATGATAGTGATCAATTAAGTTATATGTAAGCCTAACCAACCGTACTTAACGAAATCATAATAGGCCTAAGCTAAATTGTCCTACAACTGAAATAGCCTTTATCCTATTCTAACTCAACACCCTGATATCATTTAACTTAACTGTTAGCAGAAAGTCTTCGAGATACCATTAAACTTAGCCTAATATGATCATAAATCAGTTTAATTCCACCTCTGTCCTCCCTTCACATGCATTTTTTCATTGCCTTTTAGGACAATGGTCCATCCGTTTATTTGATTACCAAACATTATTGTCATATTAAGTTGTAGCCCTACAAGCTCACACATACTAATTACGTAGGTTAACCTATGTCATGCCCAAGGCAAGGAATTGTCCCTATCTGCAACCTTTCCACAATTTTGCAATGCCTACACCTAATAACTTAAATTTGAAGAATATATACTAAACAAGTTTGACTCACTCACTTTTTGTTAACGTATTGCACCACCGTTTCTTTACTACATGAACATGAACTGCATAAGTTTAGTGTTCTTGTTTTCAAACTCAAACTCACAGGACACGGACAGAAGCACTATTTTTACTTAAGTTTAGTCCACTCCACACTATCTTCCAACTAACCTAGTCTAGTCCGATTGAGATGTAACATGTCACACCACACCTCATTTCATGCAAAGTTCCTCAGTTGTAGATTAACTTTAATAATTCTAAATTAACGTATCCACAGTCACAATTCACAATATTTGACCTAAAATCTTGTTCATTAAGCTTAGAAAAGACGTTTTATTCCATACTCGAACAAAATTGAAATTCCGTTTTTTTTTACCAGCTAGTTGATCTTCCCACGAATACTAATAGCCTACTTGTTCGTTCAAGTATTGCACTTTTTTGATTTCAGCTTATCTTTCTAAATTTCACGTTGCAAGTTAGCTTCTTAGTTTTGAAAAATTGCCTTTCATTTTCATTTTACCAGACTAACCAACTCAGACTTCCCATCCCATTGTTAAATTTGAGGTTAGTTTTTCGTTTATGGTTCATGTTGGTGAAACCGGGCGCTAGTATCGAACTAGCCATGCATCTATCATATTAGGGTTAATTTTATGACTGGTGCTTTAATGTGAACTAGGGGACGATTTATTATATATGATTAGATGTTTCCTTGGTTAAACAAGGTTTTAAATGAATTAACAAGAAACTGTAAAAAACACGATCCCAGCGCACTAGGACGAAACTAACAAATACAATTGTCTTCATCTGCAAGGATAAGAACTATGGTACTTGATGAGTATGATTAATAGCTTTACTTAAAAAAGAAAGTCGATAAATCGTATCATTATTATTATTAAGCAATCCAATTATGAACAAAAATAGAATTTATCAAGTAGGTATTTCTGTGTAATTCTTATTATAAGATTTATAATAAATACAACGTCCTAGTTTCACTTACCTTATAACTGCAGCATTCAATGTGAACTTGTGATTGTGAAGATGACGTCTGCTTCACTGCCTCTAGTCTATGACGACGACGGCAATAATATTGACTATTGGCCAACATACACGAAGCAGACGATGCAACGGCAGCGTCATATCAGTTACAACATCATTTTCCAAACTAAACTTAGTTGAAATAACAATTGGGAAGTGAAATTCAGTTGAACACAGGGTAAATAAAGATGAACACAGGGTAAATAAAGATGAACAAACCTAACTCACGGCTTTATTTAACAGTTGAAAAACACTCACCGGCTCAAAAATTATTTAAGGACATAGTCTGATATTTAAGGACAATTCCCGTACATTTCATGGCCAGTCTAAAATTAAGTACAATTCCCGGTTTTCCCGGATTTCCCGGTTGGTAGACACCCTGACTGTGCTAACTAAGTAGGGGGATAAAGTAAAAATTGTGGTTACTCTTTTTCTGCTATAATATCGACTTTTATTAGGCCTACATACAAAACCATCAGAACTTTTAAGCTCTGAAATTAAGTTCTGAAACAAAATGTGAAAACAACATGTCCAACCCTTCGGCTATCTTTGTAATCAATTTCAGCTTTCTTGATTCTATAGATTTTAAGGAGATATCTCATTTTCATATAACAAAAACCCCTATGGACTAATTGTAGATCTTTTTAGCAGACAGTAAAGACTGTCAACTACACTAGGATGTGGAAAGCACCAACCGTAATCAATGTAGAGATCAAAGTCACTTTTGCTGGTGGCAAGCCCGGTGACTTGGGAGCCGAAAAATAGAACTCTGCAGCCAGGAAGCGAAGCGGACAAGTCACTTCGGATCATGATACTCTGTGAAAACAATGTCACAAACTGTCATTGGATAACTGTTTACAATGGATCACTTGAAATGAACAACATGCCACCGCCAATGTAAGTCCTTATCCCATTAAATCCATGTAAAACCAATACAAAATGACGGTGATGCTAAACAAGTTCTACCTAAACATGTGCATTACTACAATGGTATACAAGTATTCACAATTTAAGCAAGGGGTTAAACTAAAATACAAATTCTTTAGTTTTAAAATTGAATGTGTCCATTAAGAAAAATGGCAAAGTTTGTCAGAAAGAAAACATGGTTGTGGATGGCCATGGCTTGGCGGGATGGTGTGCCGATTCCACATAATTAATTTTATCAGACAGTCACTATTACACAGGCAGGGGCGTCGCCTTGGGAAAGAGAAAAGTTGGGAATTTCCTAGCCACGAGTTGGGACAGTTGAGAACTCAACAAGAAAAATATATTTTTAAACTAAATTAAATTTAAATATTTGAACATAAACACGCCCTATTTTAAGAAATAAATAATCAATTACCAGTATAGTTTGTTGGAATTTCGCTTACGAGAAATTTTGTTCCTTATTGTATGTTGGCTACCTTGATCCTGTTCTGTGTTGATTATTCTGATTTCTGAATGATTCGTCTACGAGAGCGAGACTGCGAGTTTGAATTTTCAAAGTGCAAGCGATGCAGCTCTTCAGTTCAATTGTGTTAAAAATATTTTTCAAGTCAGTCACATGAACTATATTTTATACCTTTTTTGTAGTATTTCGAGCAGGCTAACTGACAGGAGTACTTGCTAATAAGTAGATTAAAATAACATTAAAGATAGGTTTTGTGTATCGGTATTACCTTTACAACTTTTATTTTTTAATAACCTAAATGAAATATTTATTATCTGAATATATTAAAAAAATCTACTAAAGTTATTTATCATTCCTAATTAAGAATTTACAAAAATGAATCAACTAATCACTTTGAAACAGATCTATGTTAACAAAACATAACCTAAAATTTGATGTTTGACTTTCACGTCTAAGTTTGATTTTTGTCTAGTTTGATGAAGATGACATTAACATTGAACATAGTTCATTACCATAGTTATCATTTTTATTGTATGTACAAGTTTATTATCAACCAAGTTGAACGTGTTTATTTTATACGAGTCTTATTTTAGGTTTAACTTATTCTTATCTAGACTAGAATAATATTACTCACAACACTGATATTAATATTTCATTATTACAAACTTGTTTAGGCTTAGTTGTAAGTTTTATGAAGTTAAAGTGTTGATCTTAATGTCAACTTTAATATCTTAATATCTATACTAATTTTTACCAGGCTTATTTTATATCCCTAAAATTTTACACTGCTACGTCTGCTACCACAGCAATGGTTTGTAAAGTTTTTTGGATTTGAAACAATACTTTTCAAGTTTTTTGAAGTCATAAAATTTCATTATGAATTGGTAGAAGTTTTAGACATTTTTTTAATTGAATAATTTTGTATACATGTAAAACTAACTATGTTTTGTTAATGCAAGTTAATAAATACTGAATTGAGTGTTACTGCAGTGTAGTATAATAATTTGTAGATTTTTAAAAATAATACAGAAATTGATTTCTCAAAATAAAAAATAGTTGGGAAATCCGTGTTAAGCAGTTGGAAAATTTGAGGCTTCTCCCCCCCCCCCTAGAATTTAACTAAGCAAACGCCACTGTACACAGGTGACTGGGCATAGCTACACAGCTATTTTGGGCTTTGTAACTTCTTAAGTATGAGAGTCGACAATGTTGGCCTGGGTGCAACAGAGTATTTTTGTTTTGTTTTTTGTGACTGTATATCAGGGAGACTACAGAGATTTGTGTTATTTCATAGGGCCCTAATACATTTTTGTTTTATTTTTTCATGTACCTAATAAAATTTGGCTTTAGTGAAAATCTTTCCGTGACCAGGTTTTCTTTTTGACCAGTTTTGGCATTTCCTAAGGGACCCAGGATTTAAAATTTGATTTAAAATTAAACAATCTGTATTTTAACTGAACAAGATGCTTCAACTATGAATTGTTGTACAGCATTGTACCAATGCACATGATGTGTTTGGATTAGATCTAAGAAGATTCAAAAACATGATGTAATCAAAAACAAAGAATTCACATAAAACCAGTACCACAAAGGAAAATGAGATCCAGACAATTGTTTAGCAAGGATAATCAATGTAGGCTGTAAAGGTTTTTACCTAACCCGCCATGTTAAACTTCCCTATCCTAAGCGTGATGTATACAACTTCCTTACTTCTCGAGTGATGTAAAGTATCAAAAAACTCACTCGGTGATGTAATGAAACCCATTTAAATAACATTGAGTGGATAACTTAAAAAATATAACTCTATGGAGCCAACTACGTTTAACGCTAGAAATCAGCTGTGTGCTTGAATTTTATTGTTATTGTTATGTTTTGGAGAATTTTCCTAACCTAGCTTTTGTTTGTAAATGAACCTTACTGTTATAAGATGAGTGAAATGGGTAATTAAATATGTATATTGTCGGGTCAGGTAAAATCTTGTACGTTACACGTTACGCAAGAGCGTGTTTACATCACTTAGGTAAATTATGCAACGAGCGAAGCGAGTTGCACAACTTTCACCTGCGTGATGTAAAAACGCTCTTACTACACTTGTAATGTAAATAGCTATAACAACTCAAGTTTGAGACTAAGCCACAACAAAGCGAAGCAGGGTTGGCTAGTCATAATTTTTATTTAGTCCATCACTAAGCCAAATTTTAAAATTGAAACGATTGTGGTATTTTACTTTTAAGTTGTTTTCACAGGAAAAATATATTTAGCCTGATTGCTTTCAGATTTTTTTTAGATAATTTTGTTCACACAGGCGAGCTTAATGAACCAGTAATTTATATATATATATATTGTCTTGTCTGTTAAAATTGTTGAATGAGTTCATTATTATTTCAAATGTTGCTTTATTTTATTACTGGTACATACAATTGTGGTAGATGTTGGTGAGGCAACTGTACACACCTATCATGTTTGTAAATTATGTACCAAAGTGTCATTGTCATGTACACATTAATTAGTAGTTTATATAAAAGATTAATTAATCTACAACACTTACTTTTTGCTGGTTTTCCACGTAGTTTCGCTGCATCTCAGTGAGAATTTCTGAAATCGCAGCTTCAAGACTGTACATGGATCTCAGTACGTTTGTAACATCTGGGTGAAGCTGTTCTTGCTCTATTGATTTTGGTGAAACAGCTGGAAAACCCAAAAATCAACATGAAATGCATGCTGAAGAGTCATGTGGGCCGAGTAAACACCCAGACATGACACGCCATTTTTCATTATACATCGTGTAAATTGTTTATTAAATTACTAGTATAAAAAGGGAATCTATATATTAATAGACAAGCATGTTTCATTAAAACCTTTTTCTCAGCTCGCGTTCATCGCAGGTAAAATCTACGGATACCGTAGACGCTGGGCTTAATGGGATGCCATTCTGGTGAGGAAACAACAACGAAATATAAACAGAAAATCAAAACAAAAGCAAAAAATTCCAGTGGGGTGAAATAGAGAAGCCTGTACCTTTTCATTAATAGCAATGTATAAGTTGTCACTAGTTTTTTTTTTTTTTATTCGTCATAGTTGATGTAAGGCACCAACAGATTATGCTGATCTAAATGACTACCTAATTTCTGTTGAATACACGATGATTTTTACCAAGTTAAACTTTTTGAATGACTTATTATGAGCTATAGCAACTGTTATGACCCATCAACTTTGTCAGCAACAAAAAATAAGGTAGAAAATAGAATTTAAGACAAGCATTCGGTGACTGGCTCACACAACTACATGTTTTTCAATTAAAAAATGGCGACAGCTGGTCCATATAGATGGGATGTCTACTTCAGTACCCAATAGTGAATACGGTGTACATTACATGTTTTGGTCGAGTTTTCGACCACTGGACGACCACTAGTAGTAATAATTAGGTAGAAAAATTGCAAATCTAATTGAAGAATTTCTCTACAACATCCACATCAGTATACTCTCTCTTATTTGAACGATCAGGGGCCTTTTTGATAATAAAGTACAAACTAATATTATTAGTAAATCAGCTGATCACCCAATGCAAATCTAATGGAAATTACAAGTTACAAGTTGTAACTTGTAGTTTATTATGAAATGGGCCCCAGAAGTTATTTATTAGAATTGTCACCATTATTTTATGTCACATCAACAATCTAATGACCCAGCTGTTCCTGATCATTAGGCTTTTAAAAGACACTGTGAAATGGTTGGGACCGGACCCATTTCGGATTAACAAATATTTTGGATTAAAGGTTTTTTTTAGAAAATTTTAAAAAAAATTTAATTTTTTAAATTTTTCTTGTCTTAGGACGCCAGGCCCGGGATTGTTTTTCACATTACTTAAGGCTAAACCCTTAAGGCTGCAGCATTATCACTTAACAAAATCCATTTGTGATTTGGCGGGATTGGAAGCCGGGACGAAAATAAAAAAATGTTAATAACAAAAATGGTGAAATATTGACTAAAATACACTACAAAAAAGTCTATCTTGCCCGGCCACTACAGAATACTTTGACAAGGTAAACTAACTGTGATATGTCCCTCAACTAACTGTGTTAAAAGTTTAATACAATTTTTTAAATATTTTTTTATTAGTTTCGGATTAAGAGGACTTTCGGATTATCGCGACTCCACTGTAGTGTCAACTTATGGTGCAAGAGTTAACCCTTGGCATAAACAGTAACCTCGATCAATGACAAGCTATCTACAAGATTGGCAGAGAATTACAAATTGAAAGAAGTATTTTGAATAAAATTCCCACATACCTTTAAGAGGTTTTACTTCAACTCGAATCCCTTTAATGAAATGTTTTTCTTGAAGCACAGTCTTGACTGATTCACTGTAAAAAAAACATGGTGATTAGATGTTACTGGGTTGCATTTTTTTAAGAGACTTTTTTACAACATATTGGTCTGTCTTCAATCTCTGGGCTTAAAAAAAATAACCAGCTGATCTTAGTCAGAAACAAAGATACACATCTCATCTCATTCCCTTCTGCATTCATTTTAAATTTAAAATATGCATTTGAGAAAGTTGGTCAGCATCACTGGATCTTTGAAAGTGTAGGTACTCTATAAATAAATAAAATGCTAGTAGGGAAATCCAAAATGAATTTACCTTGATTGCTCAAACAGACACAGAAACAGATAAACTGATAAGACTGATCATGTCTTCAGTACAGATAGCTTAATGTCTGTTACTAGCGACTCAGTGAGTGAGCTATTTTCACAATAACAGTTTTGTATTAGTCAGCTGTAACTAATGCGATTCGACGTACCTATACTGTAAAAGGGTGAACAACTTGCCTGTGCTACCATTTATCTCTCAGAAACTATGGCATTTCTAGACAGTTTTATTAGTGGACTTCACTTCCATTCTTATGAAGATAAAAAATATTAATTCTATTTTGTTAAATGGCTACCATTTTCCACATGGCAGTCCAGTTCAAAATTTCTCAACAAAACTTCAATAATTGTTTATGACTGATATAATGCAATTTAAAGTTTTATTTGTTCTTATTAGGCATTATTCCTTTTGAAACGTTGAGTGTATTAGCTGTAAAACTTCAATATTTTTCCAAGGGGAAAACAAGTTTTTAGCAGCTGTATTTTGATTATCTGACAACACAATATTAATCTTCACAAATTAGGTTACAGTTGTCTGAACATTGGGTAGAATCATGATGTTTTTGGTTATATTTACGTTTTGCCTTTGAAATGATTCCTATCTCAATTTCTGTCTATCTGTCTGTTATTGTGTCTGTAAGTTTAACTTTACAATTATCATAAAAAAATAGTAAATAGAGAAATTGAAAGAGGAAAAATTATTTACGACCGAGTAAGATTACTGGAGACTCTTGTTTGTAGGATTGCAAAGCAGAAATCATGTTTTTCTAGCAAGTAGTTTCCAAATTTTTAATTTTGTTTGGTATCAAAATATAAATAAAAATTTTGTTTTCAATGTTTATAAAAATTACTAAATAACTGAGCAAAGCTTTTATACGTTGACTCTTATGCATTTCATCATACCCAACTCCTCCAAGAGAGGCTGTAAAGATCGTTTTTAAATGTTGAGTGGTGATGAATAGGCCTAATATATTTAGTAAATGCCAACATCTAAAGCATAAAAAAAATCTGCCAAGTGGGTCTCAAAGTTTCAATATTATCCTTATGGAAGTATTATTTGACATATAAACAAAATCATTAAATAAGCTGTTAACTTTTAAATGCAGTACATCAGGAAATAGCTTATAGAATAATAATTATTGGAAGTGTAAAAATCATCGTCAAGCTTGTTATGTATGAGGGCGGGCTTTTTAAGTAAGGGTGGTTTTTGTATATAAATCCTGTTCTTTTGTACCCCGCAACGAGGCTCCTCACCACTTGCTGGCACCATTTGTGAACAGAATGCCATCACTTGAAGCTCTGTAGCTGACATGTACGCTTCTCTGTGTGTTATTAAAATTGTTTACACCATCGAATCTCCTGCCGCCTGCGAGATAAAGTCAGTAATATACATTTTTTTACTACAAGAAACATATCCGATGCTGACATTCATCGCCACTCGTTTTATTTTAATGTGTGAATTATTCTCGGTTTTAGTTTAAACAAGATTTATTATTTATAATCTACAAAACAGGTTAACTATTACAATTATTTATAGCAGTGTTCCATATTTTTACCTTGCCAACCCAACCTTGTTAATACTGTAGAACAAAATTAAGTTATTTGCCTCACGACGAACATTATATAAAAACAATACAATTTATTAACAATGTCCAATTGGATTTTTATAAAACCACAACCATGTGTTTTTTTAATGTAAACAAAATTTATCGTTAGATGATCGTTTGATAACTGAATCTGCGTTTTTTGTGTTCTCATTTATACACTTTCCATCAGAGAAAGTAAACACTTTTAAACAAACGACTTTGGGCTAGCTGCATGAGTCACTGACAAACTGTGTTCATGAAACTTATAAGGGTCACAGGAGATCTGAACAACCACACGTGGTAAGAACAAGGCTTTATGCAGTTATCAATAAACAGAAATGGTAGAAGCCGAAATTGTTTGGGTTGAATTCTAACTCTAGGTTATCACTGTACCGCCCTTTTCTAGAAGTTGATATATCAACCAAGAGGTTTTAAGCTGAAATATAAATATAGGTCTCTGAAAAAGACGAGATATCACTGTCTTGACTTCACTTAATCAGGAAACAATATTGACTACTTTAATCGCATTAAATAGTTTCTCTACAAATATTGTCTCCGTTCAAAGTTGTAGATAAAAATAATTATGAAGTTTGATGGTGAGAGTTGAAAAAAAAAAAATACTTTCGACATCCATCCTCGATTTCGTGGATGCCTCTACAAACGCCAGCTATTAATTGGGCATATTTATTTGTACATCTTCATTTCTATGATTAATTGAAGTAGTAATGTAGAGAACAACACACTTAACAAACAAATCGTACAGTACGTTTTATAGACTAACTTACTGTAAAAATACAAATTATGTTTAAAATAACTTACGGATTTTGAAAAATAACATTTCCATGTTGTTTGATATAACTGCATGACCTTACATGACCATAATTCTTGAAATAATTCATTATGTGTTTTTTTGGGAAATCTTGAGGTAATCCTGAAAAAAGACAGTAATTTCTAAACTCATCGACTTCCCTTTTGGATTTTTATATTTAGAATTGTCAGCTGATTATGAATACATGCATGGCAACATAAAAAGTACCGTACAGTAATTGCCTCTTTTAATAAAAGTTAGGTACCGGTACCAAGTTTCCAATTTTCATAACTAAAATTAAACTAGCATCAAAGAATTAGGTTAGTTTGCGGTTAGGTTTCTTTGTTTTTGTTTTATTGAATTTCAGTGGGAAATGAAGTTTGTAAGAGGTGTTAAAAGGAAAACAAGATTGGACAGAATTAAAAGAGTTGAGAAGAATAGTTGAAGAAAGTTTGAGAGAACGAGCAGAGAAATCGAGATTGAGATGGTTTGGCTACAAGAATGGAACATTATAGAATCCCCAGAAAAATGAGTGAGCTTCATATGAACGGAAGAAGACCGAGAGGAAGACTTAGAAGAAGGTTGATTGACAAGGTGAAAGGAGATGTGGAAGCAAGAGGAGTGCAGTGGCAGCAGAGGTGCCCATCCCCCCCAAACCCAGAGGCGCAACCCCCCCCCCAAGCTAAAGGAGTAGTTCTCCCCCCCCCAATTTATGCTGCCGTCTATTTAAACCTACCCTCCCCCCACCAATTTATCTGACAATTTTCCCTTTACCTCATAAAACGAGCATTCCAATTTAGTATTTAGTAAACTTGAGGTAATGAAAAACAAACTTGCTGATAATAAAAATTAAATGTTTAATAGGAAACGAACAACATTTAACAATACTTCATTAGGTATATCTAACTAATGGACGAATTAGAAGTGTTTCAATTTAAATTTCAGAATCTCTATTGTCAGCTAACATGTGTTCAGTATTGCAATAGACAACGTCTTCAAAACGTACAACAACATACTAGGTGAATTACTCTACTCCAACACAGTATTGTAACTGTACAATATATTAGGTGGCGTTAAATTTTACAGAGAAAGAATCTCAGAGAATTTTAAGAAATCAAACCGCTTTAAAAATGCATTGATAATACTTTGGCAAAAAGTTTTTTTTTTTCAAAATTATAGGCAGTCAGGAAATAAGACAGACTTGTTGCTCACCACTCCCTGGCTCTACAAACACCGCCACTCCAAACAACACACTCCAAAAACTCGATTTTACTCTACAAAAATCGCCAGGCAAAATACCCACAAAAGGTTTTTGTGACGAAGTAATCTTATAATTAATTTTGATAGCCCCAGGATTGCCTTTTATGACTAATAATGGTAGAAACGCATCTTGTCAGACAATCTGTTTATACACAAAACACGAAACGATAACAGATAGGCCTATCAATTCACGTGAGTATATTGCCGCGGGCAGGACTGGAAGTAAACTGAATCAGGTTATGACGGAAAGACGTGGTCTCTGGATTGTCGTCTGTGTTATCAAAAGCTGATATTGGACTAGTTGTAGTGACGGAGGAGAGTGTTGAAAATATAATGGGATTCATAATTGAGTTTTCCATTTAAAATTATTGACAATAATAACCAATTTATCTGCTGGATATAAATTATGGTCTCGAAATTCTACAGTACTGCACGAAAGGAAATGTATTAAATACTTTGAGGAGTTTCAAATATATAAATACATAAAACTAGGGACAGCGCAAAATTTTTGAGTGAAAACGCTCAATTAATTATGAATCCCATTATACTTTTAACACTCTTCTCAGTCACTACAATAGTCCTATATCAGCTGGTGACAATGCAGACGACAATCCAGAGACCACGTCTGTCCGTCATAACCTGAACCTGATTCAGTTTACTTCCAGTTCTGACGACGGCAATATATACGCGTGAATTGATAGGCCTATCTGTAATCGATTCGTGTTTTGTGTGGTGGAGGTAAAGAACCACCAAAACATATGTAGCAAATAAAATTCGACACTGACACTGGCATATTAAGGATTGTCTGACAAGGTGCGTTTTTACCATTCTTAGAAGCAAATCTTAATTACGAATGGCAAAATGTTGTTGGTGTTGATAGTGAGCTAGTTAGAAACACTTTTTCGGGCTGCTTATACAAAATTTTTCATTCATTATGACAGCTAGCAAAAAACATCCCCCCCAAAATCCCCTCAAAAAAGTCCCCCCCAAAAATTCCTGTGGCGCAAACGCGCCACAGTACCCCCCCTCTGGGCACCCCTGAGTGGCAGTATGTGGAGGAAGAGGAATTGTGGAGGAACAGAAGAAGATGGAGAGGTCTAGTAAACACCCAGACCTGGAGATAACCGGAACGGGAGATGATATGTATGTATGTATGTATGTATGTAATTTCAGGGATATCTAAAAACTATAGTAAAATTTTATATCTGACAAAAAAAATCTAGTTAAACATCTATTCAGGGTGTCTACTACATTCTGGATAAAAAATTCATGGACAATTCCCGTACATTTAAGGACCTTTGTCGGTGTGATTACAGAATAATATTCCTGATTTGTCAAACTGAATTAATCTTGTTCTTCATTGTAGTTGTTCCAGAGAGAAAAGTAAATAATAATAGACAAAATTAAATTTCAAAATAGAAACTTATTGAAAGTAAACAAACATATACTTTAGGTACAGCTTTTATAGTGTAACAGAAAAACACAATCATTGTCTCCGGCAATAGCGACAAAATCCTAAATATCTCCATGGGTCACAGAAACATCATAACATAGCTTATCCGATCCAGACGGATTAATTCGGCATTATTCGCCCTGGCACAACGTTAGGTTCTCGACTACTTTTGAAAAAAAAAATCTTTAATGCATAATGAATATATTGTACCTCGGTTCTAGGTACAAAATCGGTATGGTAAGCGGCTACCAGTAAGCACAGAGTAAGATTATTGTCTTTTCATCTGCAAAGTTAATATCGACACATAGCAATCATTAGTTTATCTTAGGCTCAATTACATTTTCTAAGTATATTTTACAGCACTTTCAAAGAATCAAAATACCCAGGCCTAGGCCTAATTATTTAGGAGGGCCTATATAAACTGAGTAACAAACAATGAGGTTATAATATCAGCAAAGTCACTACGATATCATCATTCTAGTTCATAATATTTAGATTGCTTAAAGCACACAATGCAATAAATAAATATGGGAAGTAAAAAAAAATTGAAACCTGACCGCCAACAATGTACAAAGATACAGAAAATGCAATGGCATAATTTGAAACCAAGTAGGCCTAGGTAGTGATAAAAATTTATAATGCAAACAACAATGCTTTTGGTTTTGTCAATTGAAAGATAAAATATCCATAAAAAAAGGGTTCAACTTAGTTATGTTTAAGATTACCGGTAGTTACATGTTTTATATGAAACCATAAACAGTTTTATGGCACTAGGCAATGGCCAGCGGCAAATTGAAGTACAAGTAAGAAGTGAAATTTAACAGCCATTATAAAACTATTATCTCCATGATAAAATATGTTTGGGATCTAATAATGATTACCCTAGTAATAAATAAATACGTTGTAAAGGAAGTGATACAACTTTTATGAGCTAAACTACTAGTGAGTCAACAGTTCTTGGAAGTACTTGACTTGACATTTGATTGTCGTGATAAAATATTAATGGTTTGAGACTGCTAATGGGGTTTTTATTGCATAATTACTCTAGTAATAAATTATGAAAATGTAAACAAACATCTGATAAACCTTTTATGTGCTCCTAACCAACTAGCGATCGATAAAATTATGGCCCATTAAAAATTTAAGGACTTAGTCTGGCATTTAAGGACAATTCCCGTACATTTCATGGCCAGTAAAAAATTAAGTACAATTCCCGGTTTTCCCGGTTGGTAGACACCCTGTATTGTTTGATTACAAAATGTATACTGTTATTCACACTTAAAATTTTATAATAGGATGATTTTTGTGTTAAATATTGACATTTACTATATGACTTTTGAAAAAATTACCTGATAAATATATGCCATTTCTAACAATTTTTTCTTTCTTTGTCTTCCTCTCTTGAAGTTTGACATGTTTCTGGCTAGGAGTGTCAAGATTTACACTCTCATGTTCGGATTCGCTGGTATTTGCCTCTTCATCTGAGCCACATTTGCTTTCAACCTCTTCATACTCTTCTCGAGTTATGTGTAGTTTAGATATCGCTTTATGGCCTAGGGACTCTAAATGTGAAGAGAAAAACTGTTCATCGCAAAACAAATCAATATTACAGTTTTTGCAGTGGTGTTGGTAGCTTTTTCCTGATACCTCAAAAGAGTTGATTTTTGATAAGTGACAACTGCTTTTTGAATGCAATTTTCCTTGTGATTCATTTTGGAAATAGAGTTTGCAAAATTGACAGAATATACCACATAAGATGTTGTCAGACTTATTGGATACATGTTTTTTCAATACAGTTTTCATAAAATCATGGTGTATCCCACATTGGTCTGTCAGTGAGATCTGTTGTGGGTCATTACTTTGACAAACATCACTGCTTAGAGAGTGGGTGGACTCAGAGTCTTCAGGATCTGGAGTAGTGGACTCAGAAACATCATTACTGTTGCATGTTTTTTCTGAGCATTGGTAATCCAACTTTTTCATGAATGGTGATGAAACAAACTCTTTGTGCAGATCAAGGCTTTGGTGTTCAGTCCAGACATGTTGATCCCCAAAGAGGTGAACTTCGCACGTAGTACATGATTTGAGACCAAAATCAACATTCTTTTTAGATGGAATTCTAAGAGCAAACGAGTCTTTGTGAAGTTTACTCTCTAAATGATTAGTAAGTGCTTTAGATTCGAGATCATATTTTTTGCAAATTTGACAGTACAGACCAAATGGCCCTGGTATTTTCCTTTCTTTTTTCTGTTTTGCTATGGACAGCAAAATTTCATGAGTAGTCATTTTAGTTCGACTTCTAGTGCTTTTTTCACTGCTTACACTTTCGTCATCCCTAATTGATTTCTCCTTGCGTTCTTCTGCAGAACATTCACCTTTAAGTTTTTTAATGTTGATATGATATGTCGTCATACAGTGCTCCTTGAAGTGTGAATCAGTTCCAAAAATGTTTATGACACAAAATCTGCAAAAGTGCCAAGTTGAATTTGGTTTTGCCTCAGTACAGATATGTTTTTGTGCGTTGTTTTTGTCATTTTCCAAGAAGTCACATAAAACACAAACATAAACATCAATCTCAAATTTTAAGCCTCCTTCAACAGAATTTTTAACTAGTTCGAGCACACCTTTGTAGTTTGGCAATGAATTAATATTCAACAAAGGCTCTGGAAGAACATTTTGCAGATATTCTTTAGTGAAAGATGAATTTACCACCTCAGGACCATTTAAAACATCACCACTTACTTTTATAAGTTCATTTGATCCCTCCATTATTTTAACAGGATTATTTGATACTTCGGAAACTATTACTGCATCATTATTTGATACCTCGGATCTATTTTCCCCATGATTAATCCAGGGATAATAATTCATTGGTTTTTCACCCAAGTAATAATGATTTTGAGCTTGGCTTTCTTTGTTTGAGAAATGTTCTTCTTTTGAAGATTCCACATTTGAATTAATTCCACGAGAACATTTCTCCTCGTAGTTTGTTTTAAGTACGTTCAAGTTTTCTCTTATGATTTCACTCGCTGAGTGTATCTCAGAGTTTACGACAGGACATATTTTCAAAGCAGAAGTAAACTGTTCCATCTCCCTCAAAATTGTTTTTATTTCACTCTGAAGAGAAAACACAAACTTTGTGTCATCTGCTTGAACATTTCTCATCTTTGCGATACAATCTCGCAACATCAATGGATTGTGTTTTTCTTTGCCTCCTGAGTTGTTGGATTTCAAACGAACATAGTCCTGTCTGGAATTGCTTCTATCACTTAAACCAGTCAAACTTTCTGCTAACATTTCAACATGCTTTAATGTTTTGTCTGTTGAATCCTTTTGGATTGAGACTTTATTTCTTGTCCAACTCGGATAATTATACTGATCATCATCCACTAACACATTGCCTTTTTTTAAATCAGGCTTCAGATTAAAATCTAGATAATTGACTATGGGTTGCTCATCTGGCAGTGAAGTACTATTATGAATAGCACTGTCATTTGATTTGACTTCTTTAATGGTACTAGACCAATTGTCTGCCAAATTAGACTTGTCAGAATGATCAGACCTATTAGAAGATATCGTCAAATTCTGCATTAGTTTGTCTGATTTAGGAGGAATAATAACCTGAAATTGGCCATTTGTATCCATCTCATCACAGTCTTTGGCAGACACTAACACATTGCCTTTTTTTAGATCAGGCTTCAGATTAAAATCTACGTAATTGACTATGGGTTGCTCATCTAGCAGTGAAGTACTATTATGAATAGCACTATCATTTAATTTGACTTCTTTAATGGTACTAGACCAATTGTCCGCCAAATTAGACTTGTCACAATCATCAGACCTATTAGAAGACATTGTCAAATTCTGCTTTACTTTGTCTGATTTAGGAGGAATAATAACCTGAAATTGGTCATTTGTATCCATCTCAACACAGCCTTTGGCAGACACTAACACATTGCCTTTTTTTAGATCAGGCTTTAGATTAAAATCTAGATAATTGACTTTGGGTTGGTCATCTGGCAGTGAAGTACTAATTTCAATAGCACTGTCATTTAATTTGACTTCTTTAATGATACTATCCGCCAAATTAGTTTTGTCAGAATCATCAGACCTATTAGAAGACATCAACAAATTCTGCATTAGTTTGTCTGATTTAGGAGGAATAATAACTTGAAATTGGTCATTTGTATCCTTCTTATCACAGTCTTTGGCAGACACTAACACATTGCCTTTTTTTAAATCAGGCTTCAGATTAAAATCTACATAATTGACTATGGGTTGCTCATCTAGCAGTGAAGTACTAATATGAATAGCATTGTCATTTAATTTGACTTCTTTAATGGTACTAGACCAATTGTCTGCCAAATTAGACTTGCCACAATCATCAGACCTATTAGAAGACATCGTCAAATTCTGTTTTAGTTTGTCTGATTTAGGAGGAATAATAACCTGAAAATGGTCATTTGTATCCATCTCAACACAGTCTTTGGCAGACACTAACACATTGCCTTTTTTTAGATCAGGCTTTAGATTAAAATCTAGATAATTGACTTTGGGTTGGTCATCTGGCAGTGAAGTACTAATTTCAATAGCACTGTCATTTAATTTGACTTCTTTAATGATACTATCCGCCAAATTAGTTTTGTCAGAATCATCAGACCTATTAGAAGACATCAACAAATTCTGCATTAGTTTGTCTGATTTAGGAGGAATAATAACCTGAAATTGGTCATTTGTATCCTTCTTATCACAGTCTTTGGCAGACACTAACACATTGCCTTTTTTTAAATCAGGCTTCAGATTAAAATCTACATAATTGACTATGGGTTGCTCATCTAGCAGTGAAGTACTAATATGAATAGCATTGTCATTTAATTTGACTTCTTTAATGGTACTAGACCAATTGTCTGCCAAATTAGACTTGCCACAATCATCAGACCTATTAGAAGACCTATTAGAAGACGCCAAATTAGATTTGTCAGAATCATCAGAAGACATAAACAAATTCTGCATTAGTTTGTCTGATTTAGGAGGAATAATAACCTGAAATTGGTCATTTGTATCCATCTTATCACAGTCTTTGGCAGACACATCTATAATGTGCGATGGCAAAAGTGGGTCACAAGATGTTGTTAATTCCCTCTTAAAAGTATCGACAGACTCTACATTTGGTTTGAGACCTTTTTCAAGCTTTGGCTGATTTGGAAAAAACACAACCTGCAGGTCTCTGTCTTCATGTCTTCTCTGTTGAAGAGTAGTAGGCTTGGAAGATTGCTTTTCACATTGTTCTTTCTCTAGCTTACTGGTGCTGGCTTGTGCTTCAGTGTTCAGATACTGATTCACCCCTTGCAGATCTGTACTTATCTGGTGGGGAACATTATCAAACTTGATGCCTTGAGACTGGTTGGAACTATCAGATGTGCAAGTCTCCAAATCCTGGAGAGATTCTCCTACTTTTGAAGGAATAATACTCTCTTTGCTGATCAAAAATTCAGAATTTTGAACTTGAGTGGCATTATGAGTAGTTCTGTCTTCTCTGCACCTTAGTGAATCTGAAGCATTATCTACTCTTGATGAATATTGTATCCTTTCTGAGGTTGAGGGGTAACCACTCCTTTCTCGGTTTTTGACTTTTGACGATGTTTTAGACTCATGCTGACCCATCTTCTGAAAAAAAAATTCACTCATTAGAAAAAGATATAATTTTGACACATCAAACATGCATGACTAAGCAAACTTCCATTTTCCTGATTATTTAAAAAAACCATATTTTAATTAAAAAGGTAGATTTATTGCCCATTTAAATATCATTAGGTATGGTACTTAGGTTTGGTGCTATGGGGAGGATAATAAGGCATAAAGTGTGTGTTTTGGTAGAATGTTAATATGGTTAGTAGGCCTATCTATATAAATAAAATTAAAGTTTTGTCTGTACATTGCTCAGAATCATAAACTTTTAGGTTATTTTTACGTTTTATACATTAAACAAACCCCCCAAAGCAGAACAACGAGCGACGCTGCGACATTGTCGCGGACACGAAACGCCGAGAAACGCGGGCCTGCGGACACATTTACGAGCTTGAAATTATTTTTTTTTAATATCTCGATAAAAATACTTTGTCCGCGGACAAAATTTACCAGTTAAACGAAAAAAAAAGATCACAAAGTAAAAGAAAAGCGGGCGCGAGTGAACACGCTACTACACACATCACGTTGAAGAGGAGAGAACCGCTCTGCTCCACAGCCGGATGCCGTCTGCCGCTCCGCTCGGTATCTGTCTGCAGGCCACGCCCTCCTACCGCTCTCCCATTGGCCCGGCGCAGTCACCTGACAGACAGCAACCACCCTCCCTCCACCTTACAAGTGCGTGCGGATGACTGAGCTATGAAGACGCACTGTACCGTATCTGGCGATAGTGTTGCGAAATAGAAAAACGCCATTACGTTGTTGATTTCGGAAGAGAAAAGGCATTTCAGCCCTATTGTGTTAACTCTGTGGTGCGTGGGTGCGTGACCTTTGTTACTGTAAAATGTATAACTAATGTTGGCATTATTTGAGTAATGGGTTTTGCGAATGAGTGAAATATACAATGTATTCTCGGCCTTCTCGTGAGCGTGTTATCTGCTCACGTGAAACTTGCCTTGTGTAATAGATATGGCACCAGATACTATGAACATTTTAAGCCAGCTTCAAGAAGCAAAATTCTATCAAAATCAGTAAGCTCCAAGGTTGTTAAAAGAATACAAGAAGATATTGGAAAAGCACTGCCATGTTTCAAGAACTAACAAAACCAGACTATGTGCTATGTAATATAAATAATGTAAATATAGATTATTTCTGTTTGGTGTGTTTATATAAAGAAACTATAGTACATTTAAAGTTTTACTTCTGAAGACCTTGTTAACACTTGTTAAGGTATGTGTATATATATATGTATTTAAAAAAAAGTAAATTTAAATAACCTGATTATGCCTACCCCTTAATAGTTTTTTAGTTTTTTGTTTTAAAAGTAGGCTATACAAGTTATTGAAATTTACTTATTTTATTTAACTATATTATTAGTAGCCCTATAGAGTGAATATATATATATATATATATATACCGGTATATAAGTCATTATTTAGCTTTTTAGTTTTAGCGCTTGCAGACACATTTTGAGGTTTTCACAGGCCGTTGCAGACACGTAGGAACCATTCTGCTTTGGGGCTATCAAGTTCTGGTCCAAATTAGTTCGGATTAGTGTGATTCAGTGTTATATACATGAGAAGAAAATTAGATAAGGCATCTAACATCAGACACACCAGAATAGAATTGGACGTAATCTGTTTGTGCTTTTGGTTAGAATATATAGCACCGGAATCTGGTTTAAGTTCTTAGCACTTTCACACAGTGTCCATTCGGACGCGTTGCAGAAAGTCAACAGTCCCGGAAGGTCAAATAATTTATACCTGTGCCGCTAGGTCAAAAACTATAATGTTTGCAGTGTCTGTAGATCAAAAATCCTAGTAAGTCAAATAGTACAGTCCGAGCTAAAAACGTGGTCTATGTTAAAGCAATTGACTTATTGGGAATTTGACCTAATGCAACAGCAGTTTTAATATAACGAAATAAGATAAAATATAAGTTCAGTTTCGCTGAGTCAACAGTGCCGGAAGGTCAAAAGTATAATCTGTTAAAAACAGCGATAGTCCTCTCGACGCATGACTTCAATAATTTCGTGTTTTGGTGTACTTAAAGTTGTGCTAAAATTTTGAAAATTGGCACAGAGCTTCTTGGTTAGTCCTACTCGATGACTATTTTGTTGGAACTTTAAACTATTTACCGATCTAATTAATAAAAATTGATATGTATGGTGAAATAGTTTTAAATCGTGATTTCTAGCATGAAAAAGTTAGCATGCGAGATTTTTTTTTGTTTTTGAGTTAAAGAGGTTTTGTCTGTGGCAAAGTTGTAGCCAAAAGTGTGATGCGTAAAATATATTTTTTTGAATTTTTTATAATCAGTGGTTCAATAGATAACTTGGGTTGAAGAGGACGGCAAATTTAACATTTCGCAACGCATGGAAAGAACTACATCGTACGATGCGACTGCTGAGTGGACTTTTAATTTACAGTTCTAAGAACAAGAAAAAGATGAATATACAGATCACCAGTACATTCATATTATTTATAAAACATCTTTCTGTATTACCAGCTTACATTTTTCACTTATAAGAATACATCATAAACAGGGTGTTAAAAATAAGCGGGGAGATACTTTACCTAGTAATTCCTTGGGTCAAAATAAACAGAAAATGAAGGATAAAATTTTTTCCAAAATAGTTTCGTTAACCAGATATCCGCCATTTTGTATTTTTTACATACAAATATTTATCTTTACACTTTTCCAACCGATGTTTATGAAACTTGGTATGTATCCAACTTGGTATGTAGGTAGGAGAGACCCATGTTATAAAAAAAGATTCATCTCGATTCACCCTAAAATTTCAAAATTTAACACTTAACTACAATATAATATACTTTACTACACCACAATATTTACGTATCACCATAAATCTTTAATAAAATAAAACGTTCACATTTTTAAAATCCAAAGTAAATCAATATAATCATATAATCAATATAAAAAAAGTGCACTAGTACTTACTAGTGTCCAATAACAATTTGATGGATTTAACCAAAACCTTTTCTATTTCACTTATTTTCAGCTGCTAAATTTCAAACGATACGTTTTAGCTACATCATTAACATTATTATCATCATCATCGTTTGAGTTTGGGTTTGCGGCAATGTATTTTTATAATTAAAACCTTTAATTTGATACCTACCAAATTTGACCTCTGCTGCTATTAATTGACTGTATGGACTATTAATTAACAGCTGTGTCTAAGGATTACGTCGGCCTTAGTCACTAACAGGACAACAAGATCGCTCCACTCATCACACACTCAACTCCATTCATACTTGGCTTAAAATGCATACATTTGTATGGTCGCCATTTCAAAAACAGGTAAAATAGTATTAAAATTATATAAGAATTTTGTCTTAGTCTTTGTGGTCCATCCCCCTTAAGGGATTAAACAGTGATAATAGCTTAAGACAGTAGATATTTATGGCTATTATATTATTGATATACCAAGTCTCACTACTTTATCTATATTGTTAAAAAAATATAGCCAATCCAGGACTTTTCAACCATACTGTATAACGCCAACACGAAATTTTTCCGTTGAACTCCTCCGAATTTCTTAGGTGATTTTGACCATTCATGTCTCATTAGAAAGAGCGTGTCACGTACATTTGCAAACCAACCTTACATTTTTAAATCCCTTGGGCTCAGCCCCAGCGGCTCATGTTATGAACCCATGTTATGCCTATGAACAACATATTGATTTATTTATATTAGGATCAGCCCAGTTAATTGCTGTTATGCAATTCAAGGAAATAATGTAGGTTACATTATTAACATGTTACTGATTTGTTTCAAATACTATATTTACTATTTCTATTTGGGTTTGCAGGATAATTTAATCCATTTTACCAAACAATAAAATTAATGGACAAAGTACTATATTTCATGAGCTATCATTGAAAGGACCGATTGAAGTCCTCATCAACCAAAATAATGCCTACTAAAGCAATTAAAATTGAGACGAACATGTAATGCACGAAATCAGGTGGTTCTTAAGTATGTGAAAAAATGTATCGCTATTCAAAAACAGACGGAAAACTTGTAACCATATTCTTGACAACGAGTGTAACCATGTAACATGGCTACATTATCAATGACAAACGTGGACAACCTTATACGAGTGTGAGTACGTCCGAAAACAGAGTAAGTCCGAAAACAACTCTAAAAAACAATAAGCAATAAATTGCAAGAACCGTTGCTTATATCATTGGGTACGGTATACACGTATCCACTGACGTGTATACTCAATGCTTATATCGAACTGTTATATGTACATCGTGAGTTGTTCCATTAGTTGTTTCATTTAGTTGTGTGTCCATTAGTATAGTAGTTTAGTTGACTCTTTTAAAGTCGGCGGAAATTGTGACTGTTATTACCCTTGAAATAATGTTTGTGAAGTACTTTGCAATCCTATCAATGCTTATAGAATCATACGATTACAATTTTCTGGTTAGAATATGTCGCATAGAGTGGTGACTAATGTATCTTTTTGGTTTGCTTGTAAAACAGGATCAACAGAGATTTTCCATCGACTTAAACAATACGATACTCCCAAATTGTTCATTGCAATAACAAAATATCACACAGTTTGATAAATATTTGTGTGTAAGCCACATACAGTACACCTTTATTCTATCTATTTTACCTTTTATTTTTCCAAGACTTTATAGAAAATCACGCATTACGTGATCAGTGAAGAAAAGGCTGTATCCCATGTGTTTTATAGGTAAAGAAGACAAGGTCGCTCCTAGACATATATTTTGGGGGGGGGGGGGGGTCACCGGGGGCCTGGAATACCCCCCAAAAAGGAGGGGGTCTTGGGGTTCCCCCCAGGAAAAATATATAAATAAATAAATATAGGCTATACAGGGTGATCAACTCAAGGAGGCCACCATTGGGATATCGGAAACGGTAAAAATTAGAGAAAACTTAAAATGGAAGACATTCCTTTATTTTTTTGTGGCAGTTTAAAATAT